GCATATTAAGACTACTTAACATATCCTTCAAAATGCCTCTTTTAGTATTTATAAAGTATCTTAAAATCATATTTCCAGTGACACATAAAACATTTTCCTAACCTTTTAGGCAAACGGGTGGAAATTCATGTCTTGCTTGATACAAATCTACTTTTTTAAACCTTTTTTTTTTTACTTCAAACATTACGATTATGAGACATCAACGATATTGGACCAGAGTTTCAGCTTCAATCCAACGAGCACCACCTACAGTCTCAGAAAATATAGTGTAAATCAAAGAGGAACCAAAGCTGACAACTTTCAGACTGTGTTCATACAGTCAGGTTGAATGTACTGTGAGGAAAAAAATAAATGACACACTAGATAAGAAGTAGCAAATAGAGGCTGGAGAATCAACTTGATGTTTTGCTCCAAATCTATAAGGTGGCAAACCCGACATGTTCTGTTTCAGGCTGTGATTAAAAGGAAATCAAACGCCTTTCATTTTACAAACTACAACACTGTGAATTCAGCTAATATGGAGACACTGCCTTTTCAACACAAATAAACAAATAAAAGCGGTTGGTTTCAACAGTCAATTTGTTATAAGGCATGATGCCGTTTCATTTATTTAGACAACATCACAAGGAAGGTCCATTTGTCATTATTTTTCCTTTCTGTCAAACTCTTGTTCAGACTTCCTGCAACCATGTGTTGAGTCTTCTGGTGGACGGCTCTTTAATGAGCCAAGCAAGCAAGGAGCTGCCAAGCAGGGAACCACCGAGTCCTCCGGCTGAGCGAGCCAAGAGATTCAGAATGCACAGCTCTTCCCTCTCATCTCTCCAGACCAGAAACTAAGGACTCCCTTGAATTTAGGCTGGACAAGTCTAGGCTTGCTTAGCCAGCCAGTGGAGTTAAATGAGGCCAAGTGTTCAGAAGCGGAGTTCTGGTATTGTATTGATTTATCTGTACAGTTTTACTTTCATATGAATGTAGCTATAGAGTCATATGTGAGCTGATTTAGGGCATGAGAGATTAATGGGGGGAAAAGCACTTAAAAAAGCTGAAATACATAGTTGTGTTTTCAGGGATTATAAAATGCTGCATGAAATGCAACAGCTAAATCAAACTGAGAAAGTGTATTCAGGTAAAAAAACTAAACAAAACCAATGCACCAAATAGTTTTAATGAACAGAACAGCATTCCACAAGTTCTCTCTACAACTTACTTACTTGCGATCTGAAAGACACAAATTCATTCAGGAGTGCTCATAAACAAACAGTTTCTTACATGAGTGCTGTCCTCACAATGTGAATATGCACTGGCCCTCGACGATGAGTCCACCAAACGACAAAATGCATCTCTTTTCTGACTCTAGACAGAAGCTCAACAGCATGCTATAGACCAAATAAAAATAAAAAGCATATCCCATCAATCTCAAGAAATAGTTTCTTATTTTTTCATATAGTTTCAGAATGTCTATGAAATATCTGTGAAAAAAGTATACAATCTTTTTTCGTTCATATGATTTATAAAAAATAATTGTGTCTGCACACATATTCAAAATGTCCAGTGGTTTGCATAATAGTTTGATTGGATCAGTGTCTACGGTCTTCATCACTATAGGCCTGTAAGAAAAAAGAAAGAAAGACAAAAAACATCAGTCTCCTAGAAACCAAAATCAGACACATTTAACCGCTAATAGCAATAATAACTGAGGCAATTACTATGAAACAGCCATTTAATATTCGAGCATGTCATAGGCAAACAACACGAGGTGGAAAATGAGGTTTGATGCTGCCCAGTGGAGGTTCCAATCATCATATTTCACAATATGGGAGAGTTTTGGGACAGCCGTGAGCCTTTAGTTTGGTTGCCATGGAAATGTTCTGACCTCTCCGATAGCCAGGCAGCAGCAGCAGCGGCAGCAGCCTGCTCTCAGATCTCAGTCCAGACTGGCACACTGACACTGGGAACTGTGGGCACCTTCTGAACCACAAGAAGGAGAACCGCAGACAACCTCAAACCAGACAGACTTTCTCCTTCTCCTAAATGTTGACGCTGTGAGTTGTTGCTGTCTGCTGCGTGTAAACTCAGAACCCGAGTGACTTAATGGAACTGGGCAACAGCGCTCCCCTCTCCACACACAGCACGCTTGGACCAATCATGTTCCAGGGCTGCTGTGCCCTCCATTTAGCCTGTGACGGTAATTGAAAGTCCCATAAATGAAGGTGGAGGCTTCCACAGAAACTCAGCCATGGGTGGTTATGTGGTCTCCATGTTGTGGGTCTACAAATGAGATCACTGACAGACACTGAGGCTCTTTCTGTTTGAGGCTGTTGCTTACAATACCAGAACATTTAGCACGGCTGACACGACACAGGGGCAGGGAGTGTGCCCCTCAGGATGTTAGGCCCTGATGGCTCTAAGTGTCCAGATTCTCACCTGAAAACACAGATCTCTTGTTGCCATCTCGTGAACCACCTGTAGGAAAAAAAGAAAGAAAAACTAAATGTTTGCCATAATAGACAAAATAATGACTCTTCAAGAGCGGAAATAATAGTCTAATATGGACTCCTAATGTTAGAGATGAAGCACCATTTAAACAAGCTTCATTTAGCACAAGCCAAAAATACAGGTAAGAAAAAAGCTCAGGTATTTTTCTAAGAACTCTCAGAAGAAAGAAATGAGCATTAACTTTCGGGTGACTCGCTGTTGAGGCCGTTACTTTTTGTGATTTATAAGTCAAGGAATTGGGGCTCATCGGACATTATATGTCTGTAGTTTTTTTCAGGGCTGCAAGTTGTGTAAATGCTCAAATAGTCAGCGTGTCCAGTTCACATGTTGTGATCGTGACAACCCAAAGCATCTGTGAAAATAAATACTGAGCTCTGTGAAGAACTTTAACATGTTCTTAACATAAGGAACAAATCTCTTCCCACTGTACACATCGGGCCTGTTGAATTTATGAATGTGCTGCGAAACGTAGGTTGGATACGGGAACAGCGAGTGAGAAAAAGGACGCACTTTCGTCTGTATTGTGGAATGTGCGGTCGACACATTGTGGAAGTTTATAGAATAACAGGAAACGGTGATGGATTTTTCCCTATTATTTAGCTCTCAGTTCACATCTGCTGAGATTCTGTGCTGAGGGTTTACCGCACTAATTATGTGGATCCAACATTCACAGATGCACATGAACCTACCAGTGTGCAAACGGACGATCGTTTTCAAGCCAAAATGGAAACAGGAGATGTAACTTTGTCTACAGATTTACATTCTTGCTTTGAATGACGTCTCATCCACATCCTCAGATTAAGCCAGATTTATAGCCTTCGTCCATCACTCCTCTTGTTACTGCTTTGTGGCCCTGAATAATAAGTAGTTAAGTTGATTTTAGTCTTGGGATATATAATGTAATACGATAAGTTTATTCTTAGATGTTTGGGTGACCTTAGATCCTTAAAAAAAAAAAAAGAAACCATGCTGCCAAAGGCATAAAAGCCGCCCCGGAAAACACTGAGAAAATCTGATTAAAGGGGCAAAAGTGTTCTCTGAAAACAATTTTCATGTCTTGCCCTGACTAATACAATCATTCTCATGCATTCACTCGGAGACATACAAACCAGATTTCAGTGCTCAGTCCTGTGGGCCCTCTCTCACGCCAGAAGGTGCTTTGTCACGTCTCGTGGCACTCGCGTCTCTTTTCCTCTGTCAATGTCTCTCTCAGCTCCCTGAGCCACATCTAATTCAATATGTGCTTCAAATGCTTTCTCAACACGCCATTACCAGCTCCAAGGCTCATAGCAGGCCCCCAGGGGCTATTAGGAGAACTTATCCATTTATTGCACAAGATACACATTTGGCAAAACAACGACCCTCCAGAGGAACTTGTCAGAGAGATTTAATTTCCATTTGACAACCATTTGCCTGCTTGATCTTCTCTTTGACAAGAATTTTTGTTTCATAACGTCAGTGAAGGCTTTCTTTCTGAGTCCTAGAGGCGGATTATGTTCTATTGGAGCAGTTGATCTGGACTCGCTTCTCAATTCATGCCTGGGGTGTGTTATAACCAGGATGAATGTGCGTTCATCCAAAGAAGCAAACTGATTCACAACAAGAGGCGTCTTTGGCTATGAAATTTGAAATTGTCGTAATTCACTTTTAAGGAGCATTTTAGGTCTAAACAACAAATCAACAGTTTCCACAGACTTTTGTGCGAATCTTGAGAAAAATCTGTTTCACTCATCCGCATGTGGCGCATGTTCAAGTTTTTCCAGAGGAGTTTTTCTCATTTCAACAAAGGCAGAATTTATCGTGTCATCGTTAACATTGTCTCAAAGCCTGTCTGTGCTTCCATGAAGGTAAACAATACTGGTTTCCTGACCACCACTATCAGATGCTGTTCCAACTCCAAGCAATATATCTTTAAAATAGCCTTCTCTCTACCTTTTTAATTTTGTCCTGTATATTTGGATATTTCACACAGCAGGCCCGCAGAGGCGTGAAATGTTTACATGAGTCATTTTTCATCAGCTGCAAATTCTCCCCAACATCTCACAGGATCAGAGCTCTATGTATAGCTATATGTTAACCAATGCTAAAACAGCAAAAATCTGACAGGCTCTCTGAGGGTCACAGTGAACTGAGAGCTACTAAGTTTCACTCCAGTGAGACTCGGACTACCGGACCTTACTGCCACATGCGTTCAATTTATGGACCTTGAACATAAAAAGGGGGTCTGATCTAATTCTGTCACATTCTGAGCTAGTTTATTATGTTTCTCTGTATGGTAGCCAAGCCATTACTGTGTGTAGATTTATGACATATAACAAGTCCTGTTCAAGTCGACTGGATCTTGATGAAGATAAATCTCTTGGATGTAAAAACGATATTTTACATGACAACTGTTCCTCTACTTACGACCCCAACAGGACGTCAACCAGAAGGTGAAATATGGAAATTTTCGGGTCTTGTGTTCTATCATACAAGTTTTATAAGGTCAACTATTTTTTGCCACTTTAGTGCAGTAGTAATTCATTGGGGTTGAGTGACTTAATGAAATAAACCTCATGTCTCACTGGAGAAAAAAAAGAATAAAAAAAAAACATTGGTGTGAAGGTAAAATCATTAAAGGGGCAGATTTGAGAAATGTGGATTCGCCTGAGAGAGCAACAGGCTGTGAATAATTGCTTTCTGCTGTCACAGGAGCCAGATGATAAACAATCAAACTGAGAGTTTAAAAAAAATAAGATGAAAACAGAACAGAAGAAAGCAAGAGCAAGGCAATTCACTTACTCTTATCCTGTTCGGGGGGGTCCAGGATGTCACTGTCTGTGTCACTGGGGATATGCCAAGGTTGTCTGATGGCCATTAATTGCTGGTAAAACTCATCCTGAAAAGGAAAAAAAGCATAAAACAAGAGAAGGGAGGAAGCATGGTAATTATTTATAGGCTCTGCAAAGAACAGACAAAAGGAAATGGATGACAAAAGAGAAAACAAACAGCTTGGACAACTTTCTTTCTAATAATTCATTCCACTTTTTAGACATTAGTCTTTCTATGTCTTCCAGTAAAGTAGTTAACATGCTGTGCTTTCAACTGAAATATGTTTCTAGCAACAAATTCAAGTCAAGACTGTACAAGAACAAAGCAAAAGATGGGAGTTTCTTAACCATCTCTGCTTCTGGTGTGGGGTTTTCCTTTAACAGTAAACATAGCCTTTCATACATTTTTAATCATTGTATCATGTCATCTCAATAGATCTGGACATAGTTGGCAAAGAAATCAGAAAGTTTTTCACATTCCTCCTGACTTTGCTGTTATCTTGGAAGTATGAAAAGTGTGTGTGGTACTGAAAAGAAGCAACTAATTGTAGATTAGTAAATAAGTAAATAAGCAAACGCAAAGTTATGAAACTGGGTATTGAAGACAATCATCTCAACACTAAATTTATGAGGACTTTGAAGATTCCGTGGTCCACATAATATGATGTTCTCATGCGCCATGTCCAAAATAACAATACTAAACGCCCATTTGTCATGGAAGAACACTTCCAAAAGTCACTATCTGTCAACAAAGTTGTATAATGCACAAAAGCAAGTTAAAGCTCTACCACACAAAGACAAAGGCTAACACAAACATGCCCCAGAAACACTAATGTCTTCTGTGGGCCAGAGCTCATTTAAATTGGACTGAGGCAAATTAACAATTGTTCTGTTGTCAGACAAAGAAACATTTAACTTTTATTTTACAATTAATCACCACCACAACCTCCTGGTGCTGGACTGGCCTGCCTGTAGGCCTGACCTTTCACCAGCTGAAAACATCAATATACAACAATGGAGAGCTGAGCAGTTAGAAACCTGCTCAGGCAAAACCGGGGTGGCAGAAGGTCCTGTAAACTGTTTTTTTAGATGTGCTGCTGTCATTATATTCTAGATGACCTCATATTTCCAGTGACTGGTAAAACGTCTCACTTTCAGCATCCCATATGTCTGTTCTGTTTATGCTTTCATGCAGTGTCTAACATATTTTGTTATTGCCGTTGTAAATTTGGAAATGTCTCAATCCTAAAACATCTTAAAAGATACCAGATCTACGTATTGTCCCAAATCAATTTTATCACTACATATCATGGCTATTTGCAACAGTTTGATGAAACAGCTTATGTTTTCTTCCATTCCTGTTGGAACTGTATTAAAAAAGTAGTTCAGAACTCCGTTCTCTTCTAACCAGACTTCAGTTGTTCTACAAGGGACCAGGTGGCCTCAATAAAATGGGCTCAGTGCACTGGAGTAGTGTTTTGGATAATATCACTAGGTGTCAACTGGCGTAACTGTCAAAGAGTATACAAAGGGACTGTAAAATCTTTGCCCACCATTAACAAGGCCTTCAAAAAAGGCTCATATTTAACAGCGCTGCTGCTAAGTAGATCATGAAAGGAGCATAAGAAAGAAATCCTACTGAAAGAACCTTTTTAATGCCAGGCTCATTTTTCCACAGTCAAATGACATCCTACTGTACAGACCTCCATGACTCTCCACCAAACCCCACACGAAGTGTATGTGTGTTCGACAGGTCATGCACATGTGTGTGAAGGCTCTCGTGTTTTACACCCAGTTTTTTTTTCTGCCAACTTAAAAGACAAAATTACTGTCATCAAAATAAAATTTATCATAAAGTGGAAGCTCCTGACCCAAAGCCATGTTTTACACAGAGTGAGTGCGGCTGAGCTACTTCACTGCAACATATAGAATCCAATGGCAACAGAAGACAACATTTCCATTAAAAACAAAAGAAAAATAATTTGTATTTGCTTTCTTTCCAAGAGTTGAGAAGATGAGAGGATTTATCCTGTTCTCAGACAAACACTATCCATCACTCGTGGAGCTACGCCCAGCAGACGGTGAGCTCAGTGTTACATGAAGACCAGTAAAGGAGCAGGAGCAAACAACGGGACCGTCTCTGTCTGGTGGCTATGAAAATATACAAAAAAGTAAGCACAAAAATACCAATTTGTGGTTTTATGTGCTAAACGTTTTTGCTTGCCTGGCCCTTACTTTATGGAGTTGGGTCAAGAACTTCTCCAGGAACTCTCCATGCAAAGCCAAGTGTTATCCCATATATAAAACTACAACCAGGTCTGGTCGTTTTTATACGTCTCTTTTCAGGTTTAAAAACTAAGACAACTTACATGCTGTAATAGAGTCAGCTTTAAAAGCACTAGAAGGCAACATTTTGCTTTAATCTTTACAATCTTTATGTCTTTTGATATGCTTGGAAACTGGATGCAGTTTCATATCAAGCTGACAGACAGGAGAGAGGCACTTAATCTCTGTTAGAAGGCAAATAAGTGCTTGGGTGGTTTAGGCTCTTTAAGACGTATTTTTGTTGGAAGCAGCTGAGTGTATAATGTGAATATAGCCACAGTGAAACACAATCTCCACTTCACTAGTTATACAGTATATTCTACATAAAACTGAGCTGGATAACTGCTTTCATGAGGAATTTGAGGGTTTCAGTTTGGGGTCTTACCTCAGACAGATAGGCTCGAAGGCTGGCACCAAGGCTGTCGGTCGTGCTTAGTCCAGGAGGGGTGAGCAGGGGTCTGGGATGCGGGGGCTGACTGGTGGGCGTCACAGGGCGACTCCGCGACCTCCTGAATGTCACCTCTTTATGAGACCCGGGGTTAAAGGTCGAGCGTGTCAGTAAACTATTTGGGGTCAAGGGCCTGCTTGGTGTTCTGGGAGTTTGAGTCCGGCTACTGGGGTTGCTGGGAGAATGAGTCCGACCCATAACCAGTGTGGTTGACTTAGGACTCAGCAAAGGGAGTCCGATGCTACAGGGCTTGCCTGAGAGGCTGCCGGCGGGAGACTGAGGCCTGGAGACGAGGCTGGGGAGAGGAAGCGTGTCAGGTAGAGTTCTGTGGTGCAGAGGGGTGTGCAGTAGACTACTGTGTGGATTGTTGGAGCTGCGAGTGGTCATCTTTCCGACTTCTGCCAGCTTGGCCAGGTCCTTCTCAACCTCTGTTAGAGAGAAGAATATAGTCCACGTCAGCATCTGGATGTCACGCTTTAAACATGCACCTCCTCCAAACCCTATCCTTATAAATGTATATATAGAGGAGAGAGTGTGTAAAACTTTCAACCAATACTACTTATTCTGTGGACTTCACCGTGGTATCATGACTTGTTTTTGACTTTTCTGAGACTCGGAAATGAAGCAGGTTTACGTGCCACGGGAAAGATGATTCACACATTTTTACTGAGTATTAAAGTGGGCGAGACTTCTTGCTTTAATCCGTCTGCTGGGTAATGATGACAATATTTACAGACCTTGTAAACTGTGGTGAATCCAGCTTCCTCTATTTAAATGAATCCCAAGCTGATACACTCTAAGTGCAGCATGTGATATGTTTTTCTCTGTCCGTGGCTAAAACACATTTGGTCGCTCCTCCGGTATTTTTGGTAACACTTTTGTTTGTAAAAGAAGTTACGCTGCCAACTTCTGTGGTCAACATCTGGGTCATTTTCCGTCGTTGTCCCACGCTTTTGTTCAGTGTTCACCAAACCAGACTGGGACTCATCATATCAGTGGCATTATTTCAGGAATGACACATCAGGACTGAGCACTTCAGGGAAATCGACTCGTCTATGTGTGACGTGCAATGAAAAACAAAATGAAGCATGACAAGTATTTCACAAGCCTTGACTTCCATGTTTTTGAGCAAACGGTGCTTTGTTCTCCTACAAACAACATTTTTCCATGCAATAACACAAAGCATGTGTGTCTGTTCACTGACAATCATCCATTTGGTATGCAAGTCAGGAAAATGTCAGCAATGCTACCCAAAAAACTGCGTTGGGAAATTCACTTTGGAAGTTTGTTTACACTTTTCTCCAAGGCTGTTTTGTATAGCATGCTTTGAGAAGCAAACACATTTGACAAAAGACTGCAGTTTGTGTGCTTTAGCAACTCAGACCAAGTTTCTAATGGGCTCAATCACCTACATATGTCTTCCATGACATAGAGTCTGTGTTGGTTTAACTTTAACAGATTGGAAATTAAATACTCAAGTTGACATGTTTTGTTGTTTTTGACCAAAAAATGTAGAAACATTAACTCCGCGGTTGCTCAGTGCGTATCATGACGTCAGCTTTTGGTTGTTTATAAGTTAACAAACCATAAAGCAGAACTTTGATTGGGTTATTAGCCTGCAAAACTACATCCTGAGCATGAGACCCAGGCTTAATCTGGGCAAAGATCCCTGTAATGCAATTAAATAAATGCTACAAGGTGTCAAATAACATTCTGTGTACGACCCAGTTTAGGTTATTATCCACCCACAGCATGTCCACAATGATGACATGCTCTAAACAGGATATGTTCATTAGTAATCTGTTCTCGTAAGGTTGATATTTTCAGCTCAATATATTTACAACTCTAATGATAACACCACATGTTTCAGGTTGAGAAAATTTTCCTCCTTTCCATAAATGGTCACTCCACTCATGACCTTACAATAAACCAGCTCCCCCGACTTCCTGGCACAAAAAAAGAAACCTATCAGCAGCTATTTCAAATTGCAAGACTGCTCGGTTGATTGCATTAAACACAAAGATGCTGCAAGTTATCTCTCATGATGCAAAATGACAGATCCTACTGATCAAAGATAGAATTAAAACACATGTGGAAAGATAGGTTTTGATCCAAATCTTGAGTAATAAGAAACAAAAAAAGAATGCAGGGTAAAAAAAAAAATCTACAGAGAAAGAGACAAGAAGAAATGGAAACATATCGAATCTATTAAAGTCTTTGATCAACAAGCAGTTGCACGTGGTGAGAGAGTACACAGCCACAGCACGCTATAAAACCATTCAGAACTCATGCAATCTTTATTGGGTCCCTCCTCTAAAAATAAACAAGCTTGCTAATGACATATCATTTGCCTGCAGGGTTGCAGCTATAGAGAAAACTGCTTGCCTGGATAAAGAAAAACAACCCCCACCGTCCCAGGGCAGATGACCAGAAACACTTTTCAACCACTTTCTAACTTACAGAGAACAGTGCTGACCCTCAGTAATGCTCTAAAACAAAAAAAATCTAAAGATGACATAGCATTCTTTACTCTGATTGTATCTGGCTAATATACAGAAATATATGATAAAAATGTATACATTAAAACAATCATTTAAGTGCGTTTTTAGCAGACAATTGTTTCTAAAAATACCTTTTAAACCAATTAATTACTTATAATTAAAAGGTCTGAGTCCTTATTCAGTTTTAGTAAAGACAAATAGTTAACTAAATGGTGTGTCACAGTGTATTTAAAGAATTTCTTTGTACATTATGGTGTCAAATTAGTATTTGGTCACCCACAAACAAGCTGGATTTTTCTGTGAGAAATGTCTCACAGAGACACGTCTGTCACAGACCTGTAACGTCTTCTTTAAGAAGCTCTTCTGTCGTCCACTCGTTACCTGCACTGTACTTTCTCACACTCATCAGCTTCTTTGAAGTAGTCCACCACCATATGCTTCACATGTCATCATATTAAAAAAACTCCAGTTTGCAGTAACCGGGCAGCTTTGGGGTTTAAGAATTAACAGTACTGAGTTTGATTTGTCTGATTTCACTAATGGCTGCTTACAGGCTGCTACTGTAAACCAGAACCAGAACATAAGGACAGGCTGAGTACAGCTCAACTAAATTAAACAATATTTTTTTATTTCACTCATGTTTAACAGCTACCCATCCTTCACTCTACAAATCAGCTTTATGTGTCAGTAAAGGCTCTCGAAGGTACAGTATGGAAAGTTTGGAAAACAAGTTATTAAAAAAATCCATAAATGTTCCTAGTTGTGAAACATACAGCCCAAGAAACCCCTGCAATTTAAAAAACAAATGCCTATGTGCACCATTCAAATCAAACTAAACTTCTTTGACGATTTCTGTAAGCAGTCGTCACGTCATCTGAAGTTGGTTTGTTTTAGAGGCAAATGGTGTATCTCACACTGATGTGGAGATGAGCTGAACTCACAGCAGCTGGGCCAGTGTTTTTGTAACTGCAGGATTACTCAGCAGGACCAGAGTGCTTCAAGTGACGCTGGTATGTTATGGCATGTAGAGAGTCTTTACACAGCGTGACGCTGTTAAACAGAGTGGGAGGACATTCATAAACAAACAAGCGTGTGACACATGACACTAAATGGCAACGTTCCCTTTTGCCTCCACTCCAAACTTTCATGTGATTCATAAGCAAATACATATCTTCATGACGACGAAAGCAGCCACTGACTCACCCAGATGTGTAAAAAAACAAAAAAACAAAACAATGTGCGGACTACATTACAGATGATTTCTTTCCACACAGCCACATTTCGAAAAATATCAGACTGCAGCACAGACAGGCTGAACAACTCATGAAAGATAAAGGAACTCAATGACTTACTTTTATAAAGGAAGACAAGTTTATCATCAATCAACACAATCCCTTCACCAAAAAGCAGCTCATTCCTCAATCCTCACTCTCTCTAAGTGCTATCCAAACCCCTTTCAATTTCAAAAGTCATGACTCAAAGTTTGTGTGTGGGTGATTGCACTGTATACAGACTGGAGTGGGTCTCAAATAAAATTATTCAAAGGAGGCATCTGAAAACACATCATTAAAGTCTCTGGAAGCCACAAAGATAAACTCATAGACTGGAGGCACAAAGTCACATGCTTGTCACATAAACACATACATGTAGAGTACCGCCTTACCGGCAAGCTGTTTACCCATGTTCTCCAGCTCTTTGGAAAAGAGGGAGTCGCCCAGCAGCAGGCCCGTCTGCCCGACAGAGCTGCCACCTCTCACAGCCTTCAGATCAGCATCCCAGACAGCCTGACGCTGGGTAGCATGGAGAACATGAAAAAAAAAAAAAAAAACACGAGAGTGCAAGTCAAATGAGAAGAAAGACCCTTCAATTAACTTTCCCTTTTTTCTTTTTTTATATAATTTTCAGCTATTGCTGGAAATATCTGAGCCATATCTGCTTGGGGGGGAAAAAAAAGAGCCAATTATTATTTTATGGCTTTAGAAAAACACAAGAAACCACAGCAAGTGTAGATGAAAGCATAGAGCATGGATTGAACTCTGTAAAGGGAATGTGGGGCGCTAGACAGTCAGCAGTGGTTCTGGACGCTTTTGTGGAACCCTCAGTAAATCTATAATAGCTTTATAATACCTCACAGGACTCAGGAGAGATGCATTTCCAATTAATCTCCAACTGAACAAGATTTTCAAATTTTCTGTTGTTTTATTTGTTAAAAAAAGGTCACACCACAAAGAAAATTAGAAGTCAGATTGAATCAATTAAAAAGTGTTTTAATGTAGTTTTGCTCACACCACTCCTGGCCAAGTGTTCGACTTGGAAAGGGACCTGTTAGACGGACTGAGGTTTGCCAAGTTCTGTGATGGCAGCATGCCTGAGCCTACTTATTTACTCCTTTGATAGGACAAGCGGCCAAATGATCCAAGGAGGTAATGGATGAGCTCGCACACTCGCTCCGGGCACAGGTGAGAAATAAAACACGATGGTCATAATTCCACCACCTGTACATTTAGTTTGCACAAGATAACTAATGACAGCTCTGATGCCAACACTTACATCATCCGATGTGAAAAGACGTTAATGAAAGACAGAGCTGTCTCAATAAAAGTGCTGACACGGAAGAAGGGTCTGGAGCATCTGGCAATATACATACAGAGCAGCCTTTTAGCCATATGTAGGAATCAGCCAAGGATGTTCAGTGTGTGGCAAAGCCAGAATATCGCTGAAATATTAGGAAAATACCTCAGAGTAATTGCAGTATTCTTATGTTTCAGTCCAGGGTTTTTGATCTTCTACAAAGTATCAGGCTATACAGCCGCACGATGAAAAGGCAGAAGGAAAACAAAGCTGATTTGATCTTATTCAAACTGAAAAAAATAGCAGAGCATTGCAGTCTTTTCAGATTCAAATCAAGGTTAAAAGGAACAAACCTGGATCTCAAAACTTGATGAAAAAGCTTTTTAAATGTCTAGAAATAAAGTGAAATGGTTCAGGGTTTTTGTGTTCTAGTTTTCCTCTTTCTGTCTTTATCCTCAGTTTAATCAATCGTTAGTTATCTTGGATATTTACTCCTGACGTTCATAATGGTTATTAAATGCTGCATAGAGTTCTTTTCTCCATGGATGCTAAGTACATTACTAATGAATACTATTAATAACATCCACCAGCCTTTTCCTTTTCTTACAGTCCTGCACTTGGATCCACTTCCAGCAAACCTCTGTGCTTGGTACTAAAAAATAAAACACTTGTGATATATTCAAATGAATCACTTTCACATTTAAGAATTATTTAATTCTACAGGGCTGTAAATCTGTCTGATACTGGAAAATAGTGAAATGGGCAGTTTCGTCTTTGGCTGGTTAAACGTGAATCCTGATGAACTAACAGTATTTGTGCAGCTCCAGCACAGTGAAAGTGGACACCGACACAATCCAGGTAGAAATTATTGGGGAAATGCCAATACTGGTTAAGGTTTAGTTTAAAATTTCCTTCAAGAACTGGTCACTAGAGAGCCATAGACCCCATCAGCAACTCGACACGAACATCTGTTCGTCCACCAGTTTCTGTTTGAACTTCAGCCAAGGAGTGAGCCGTTTGTCACCTCCGTGGGTCCCATCTCTCATCTCATCTCAGGGCTTCAACGTCAGCAGCTGATGTTAAAATGGCATTTGTGATGCACGTGAGTAACGCTCAGTTAAGGAAGCAGCTGGGAGCCGAGCTTAGAAAAACTAAAATATTGGTCTTAAAATTTTGTTTCCCTTTCTCTGCAATTTTTAAATTCAAGCTGACGCTACTTTTTGCACCAACAACTACCGTACTATTACTACTATCTCTATTCATCATTTCATTTTTTATGATAATTGTAAAGTTGTTTTAGTCCTTTCGGTCCATCTTAACCAAGCCCCTTCATTAGTAGCTCTTGGCTCTGGCCTATAAAAAATACTTTGTCCCAAGTATGACATTAGTCCAAACGTAAAGTGTTTAAAGTGTAATGTAGAGACAGAAAAACTCCCACAAAGAGTAGCTGAAGAGGATGAAGTGGGACTGTCTTTCATCACGTAACTGTGAACAGAGTAATGTCATAAAGGCTCTCGTGCAGTACTGAAGACCAAATAAAAGTATTCCTGCTCCAACCTTCAATCTACTGAACCTCAAGCATTAGTTTTTAAACGGGAGCAAATGTACTGTAACACATCTTCATAGGTAAATAGATATTGCAGTGTGACACAATTCAGCATCCAGTGAAGAGGAGTATGCTCATATTGTCATAAACCTAAAGTTTTTCAGGTTTCAAAATGAAGAAGTCCATTTTCAAACAGAAGGTCCATTAGCGATGACATCAAGAGAAGCAGCCAGCCTCTGATAAATGACTGAAAACACAGGATCCATGGCATTGATCTCCATGCCAGTCAGATACATGAGGCATTCTGTGGCGGCAGAACCACAAAACCACAAGCCAATCCTTAATTACAGCCCTCATAAAGCAGCAAGTCAAGTTGAAATGTACAAGTGAATAAATTCCAAAGCTTTATTTCTTTTTCTTTGGTGGTATATCCCAAAATCCATGCGCATGACATCATCTACTCCTCTCAGTCTGGATCTTCTCAGCTCCAGCAAACAAGGCCACCAACAGCTCAAAACTTTTAATTTCCCCTGTATTTTTCAAATTATTATTGGACTCATAAGTCATTAAATTTGTAGGCGTTGCAATAAGAATTCTTTAGAAAACCAGATCCAGATTTCAATATTTTAATGAAAGGCCTTATTTATTATAGTGCCTTTAGAAACCACTCTTTCTTCATAGGAGCAGTTGATACAGATTTACCACGATGAACAGCACAAGCTGTTTAGTGAGCTCTAACGCTTCTTGTCGTAGTGTTATTTGGACCAAGAAGTATATCCTGGAGACTGCGGACTGAGAGCTGAAACTGGTGTTAAGGCACTGTCCCAGAAACCTGACATAAACAGAAATGAAGGATAGACCGCAAGCAGTTCAGAGACAGTATCGAATTGTTGTCTCATCAAGACAGTTAAGTGGAAGACGTCAACAGGTCCAAGCTCTCAGCGCAAAGAAGAGTGTAAAAAAGAGAAATGACACATTTAAGGAAAAGCAAAGGAAAAAACAAACAACAAATGAAAACAGAAGACATAATGACATGATGAAAGCATGATTAGTTTACTGAAACAACTATTGTTCTTATCAGAGCCAATCTATGACATACGCACATAAGGGCTGAACTTTGTTTTGATGTTTAGATTGGATGCTTTAATCTATACAGGCAAAGAGACGAGAAGGAATGCCTTTTCATCTCCAAAATAAAGAGTGGCTATGATTGTGCAGTGACTTATGAGTATATTAATGTCAGTGGCGCAAACCCCAGCTTTTAAACCCCCCTCCCGCTATTGCAAAGCTAAGGAAAAGAAATTGAAACTTGAAAAGAGAAAGGGGAAAGCCCTCTGGTGATGCATCTGCCAAAATAAGAAATATGCATCTTGTTTCTCATTAAATTGATTTCATGTTGCAACCAAACAAGTAAAAAAAGGGAGAATATGGATGTCTCAAGTTAAATATTTTACAGCTTGCATGTGTGTGCATCTTTACGTGTGTGGTCAGTGGCTATAATCACCACAATCTGGGGTTCGGTCCAACATTGTCCTTCTGCACAACAAGGACTGTTACAGTTCCAGACCTAAAACATGTAACAGCATGGATATAAAGGTGGGCAGCCAGTCCAAGTACTGTTCATGTGTGAGAAAGAAACAAATCCAGTACTTCTATCTTAAACTGCATCATCGTTGGTCACTTCTTCAGGATGTTCAGCATTTCCAGTTAAAGGGCAAACACATTACGGGCTGCTGGGTTAAAATAGTATGAACAGAGGTGCAAATACTAAGATAGAAAAATATGACGTCCTATATTTCCTGTCATGGATTAATCTCCTAAAGTTTACTGTGGGGAACAAATAAGGTTGTATGTTTTCTCAATTTTCTCTATCAGCTACCCTATAGCTGAACAAGGATCTAGTCTCACTCAACTTTGGATGATTTCCTGTTATTTTGGCGCACAGCAGAGTCACTTAATGGAATTTATGGCCTTGTATGCGGGGCTTAGAGGCTCAGTGGCCCCACCACAGTCAAAAGCAAACAGGATATTGACAATAACACAGTTAGGTTTTCATTCAAGCATTCCCAAAGATGTGTAATAAGGCTGTTCCTCAGAAAAAAAGTTCAGCATGAAGAAAAAGACATGCAATGGACAAATACACAGGGCAGAATTATTAAGGACAGATCAACTTGAATATTAACATAACCAGCGCAAATGGCTATTGTACACTGCCTTAAAATGTCTGTTCAATTTACTCAACCATGATAACATCATTAATCTCTTCACATAAATAAATATTGGGAAAGCCATTCAACGCTTATGGCTGTATTCCACAAAATAATGACAAGATTACTAAAGACGAGACATTCATTGACTGAAATCATATCTGAAAGGGATCTTTAGCCCTATCAAAGGTAATAGTATTTAAAATAATATTAAGTTCTCAGACTTTATCAGGTATGTGTATGTTTTTCATGTGGCATTGCAAAAAGAAAAACTGTGTTACACTAAACAATATATGTTGAATTTAACATCTTCACAAAAGAGCAACTTCTCTCCACTGCCTTCTGAACTTCACATTTGAGGTTAAAACTTCTGAACAGGACATGTGACTGTCTCAAACATTTATGAAGTTTGAATGGACTCATTATGAGACAGATGTTACAAATCAAGCTTTTGCACATATCTCTTCCACAGCGTCTTGGATTTGCTGTGAAATTTGCTCAGAGGACAGCCATGTATACACAACTGTGGAGGTGTAGGGAGTAAACTGAAGCCAAATATAAAAAGCCAAACAGCGTATCACTTGAACTCTGCCAAAATCCCCCTGGAAACAAAAATAAACCATCATAAAGGTTCTGCTTTGTATCATGCACATAGCATTGCATCACTCTAATTATCTTACCACTGCCAGAGAAGTGAACAGTTTCTTCTGGTGGATTTTATGATGCTAACAGCCATAACATTAAGAGCTACAGTAAATGTGATTAAAACATATCACTAGGCTTCTACAAAGAAGGCCACAGAAGAATTTCTAGGGGAATATTATTTGGCTGTTGCTTCAGGAAAGCATTTGCCTTTATGGGGCAATTATCACCTAAAGGAGCTGGCAGAGGCAGGGGGTCTGTCAAACTAATATTAATAACCATTAACAGTGTTTACTTTTCAACATCACCGGGCATTTATAGCCCAATCTCACACAGACCACAATACAGGGCATGCAATATTTATGGGCAGCCATAAATATGCTAAAAATAAAACACCACCTTTGTCCTCTATAGCGTGAAGGGCTAGACGCTTGTCGCCTTTTCATTTTTTAACAACCGCTGCAGGAAAGGTTAAACACATTTTCCTCAAAATGCTAAGATGACCTCTATTACTTGATGTAAATATGCACATATATAGGAGAATTTTGCCTAAATTACTACTTTATTTCGGGGTTTAATCAGCTAAACTGACTTCCATGCTTTTGCCTCCATCATTGTGGCCCACTCTTAAGAAATTACAATTCACAATTTGCCTTAACAAAATGGCCAGACACACATCACCTAACACAAAAGCAACCTCATTATTAACACTACGTGACAGGACAAGTGTGCATTTGCAGTTTACATATGGGACAAATTAGCACATTGTTCTTGAATGCACCAGACAAGACTTAACCTATGAGGCTGTAAGGTTGCAAAGAAACTGCTTAATCTTTTGGTATAAGCTGCTACAGGCTGGTGGAAGCTAAACGGATCAGCTTAAACCTCTGAGATTTGTAAGATCTTGTGGTCAAAAATCAGAGGACTGGTGCAATAATCATATTCTGATGTTGAGGTCACAGCATTTTTAAGTTCAGGGTAGTGTGGGTGTTGTTCAGCCCAATGCATCAGACTTTCGGTCTTTAAGTCACTAAAAGTCTGCTCCCAGTTAGCGTGGAGCCTCTCTCCATCTGCTCCACACACGGCGTGCTGCCTTGGCTCCAAATTCCCCCTTTTTTAAAAACTTTTTTTTCCCAAAATGCTGTAAAAAGCACTAACACTTAGATTGGGCCATTACAAAAAAGGTATTGGCTGTTTTATTTTGTGCTTAAAACAAAGGTACCGGCGTCTTAGCTGAGCGCTTTATTAAGAGCATGTGAGCGTCTGCCTTCGTCTGAGTCTAATGAATACCACAGTCAGCCACCATAGATTTCTTCACTAAGCATGCAAAGTCCTATTGTGCACAACTTTTTACACCCCAATAACCCATAAATATGTTGCTCCAAAACATAAAACATTTAACTCAGCTTCAGTTGTGTCATGGGATATTCTTCCATTTTTCCCCCCTTTCATACTGTGCACAAGTGCCCTAAGAGGCAAGCAAAGTGATACAGATAGATTTCTAATTAGGGGTATCATTTGTTTGCCATCGTCAATTGTTGTGTGAGCTGAAATGAACACATAAAGATGGATCAGTTTTGCTCGGGCCTTGTTCTGTTAACAAGAAGCTTGAGGTGGTTTTTCTCTCAGGCTGGGACAATAGAAGCCGCAGAGGAGAGAGCGACCAGGTAATTGATGGCTGTAAAGCGATCTTAATTGTTTGGTGATGGATGTTGGGAGGACACTTACAGAGGCTGACACTTGAGATAAGCCCTCGCATTCCTGCAGTCGACCCGCAACCATGTCCACCCCGGGCAACAGTGCTGCTCCAGACAGCACACACAAAACATGGGAAACGAAGGACAGAGCACAGGATAGCAAACGTTTACAGTCATGTGACAAAAACAAAATATCTTGAGATTGGACTGTGTGTTGCACACTTACAGGATATGTCAGGTACAGCTTGTTCCGGTATGTGAGGCCTGTGCTCCTCTTCAGATCGGTTGTCTGATAGAGTGTCCCCCTGCAACCTGGAAACAACACGTAACACATATACACAACTGTACACACTGGGAAGGAGCTATGTATGCATGTTTGGAAGCCAAATGTCAGATAACAAGAGGACATGGACGCCTTTATCTGTCTGAAGTGATGAGACAAGGAAATGTTTAACAAGCTGCTAATCTATTTTTCAAAGTCTGGGATGGTAAGAAAGGAAGACTATGAGGTTCAGTTTGGGAGCAAAAACAAAAGCTTTTCATCAAAGCTCATTGTGTTACTGGAATCACATCTGAAATGTTGCTCTCTATTACATTAACTCGTACAAATGCATTCTCAGACATAAGAGAAATAAAAGCTTTCTCTCTGCTTGCTGACAAAATAAAACTGAAATATTGTCCAACAATGATTTAGGAGATTTCCCTTAAATCATTCTGTGGCTGGTCTTTATCAAAATGCAATCCAAGCCCCTATAGGGTTTTTCCCCCCAAACAATATCTGTTTGAAATCCAAGCAGGTCGGAGAGATTTGGCTGTCTCTTTAAGCTACTAAAAGATTTATGTTTCCCTGAGATAGCAAAGTAAACTGTGGGTGAAAGGCAAACAGCGACGGAGCAGCTTTTTTAGTTGGAAATTGTAGATGTTCCACGCGGCTTTTTACTGAATTTCCAACTCTTTGACAAACTAGTTGACATGCTACTACTCATGTATAGAGTTCAAGCTTTTTGCTACTTGGAGACATAATTCTATTAAGTGTAAATCAATAACATATATTAAGCATAATTACGCTCTACTTAAGGTCCAGTCTTTTGCTGCATGCCATTTCCATGTCATCAGTGCAGCCATTAGCCAAAGACAAAGGAAAGCAATCCACTCTCTTTTATAGCGCAGCTGCATTCCCAGCCGTAGGGTCTCTCGGTTTCTACCTCTACAGTGAGGACTAAAGAACTTTTGCAAGCGTATTCAGTTTCTTTCTTTCTTTAAAACGTTGCCTCTCCTTGTCTTCTCTGTTCTTTAATGGTCTTTATAAGACCATTAACTGTGCCCAAGATGACTATCGTAAGGCCTTCTCATTTTCTGAACAAAAGCTGCTCATGGCCGCAAGTCTTGACTACTATTCCCTTATTACATTCCTGATATGAAAGCAATTAATTTAATGAGACCTACAAGCCCATAAGGAAGATTGTGTAGATTTATCCATTTTCTATGACCGCAGTGCCAGCTCCTCCAGAATGTGCCCGAGATCTGGGATGTGTTACAGACAGAGTGCTGTTGGACTTTGTGGCAGGAATGCATGGCTGTTAAACGAACTGGTCGGGTGCATGAGGGAAGTGGATGAAACACTGGCGTGGCCACAGCTAAAGCCAAACAGACAGACATGGCCACAACAAACAGGCCGCACAACACTTTACACTTGAACCAGCCAGCGGAGTGCCAGAGGAAGCAGAGCATTTCCTGAGCTGCCGCTGCTGGTTAGGAGCCACACAGGCTGACTGGACTCACTGGTGTGGGCAGAGTCTGGACAGAAGGGAAGGAAAAGGGATGGGATGAGTTTCAGCATGGGCTCAGCCAATTGAAAAAGATAAGATACGCACTTATCTACAAATACCTACAAATTCCAATTCCAAACCTCAGAGAGAGGTCTTGGACCATATGTTCAGTGATACGTACGCTTAAAGAGCAGTTGAGCCCGAGCCAGCAGTGAAAGGTGTTTCAGGTAATCCAAGTAAAGTAAAAATAGGAAAACAATTATTTATTAGCCTATATCTTTCCTAGTCTTATGGACAGGGATTGTATACAAATGAATTAGTGTCCTTATAATAACGTTTGACAATATGCATAATTTTGTATAAAAATATGTGCATACTTTACTGTTCTACAATAACCCTCACATGTGGGCACGTGGACTTATATAGACTCTCAAACTCTCTGCTCCTCACTGATCCATAAATGCATGCTATATTCAAATACTGGCGGAAAACTTGGCTAAAACTTGGCAAATTTATGCTTCCCTGTTTGCTGATTTGAAAGTGTTAAAGGTGTTTTTTTACCACAGACACCCACCCAATAAAACAAAGCCCACATTTCCTTTTCAAGATCTTATAAAATACTGATAAAGCAAGCAAATTTGTGGACTATATAAATGTGTACACATGGGTTTGATCGGCTACTCCCAGGTGGAAAAGCGTGTCCTTCAGCTGTGGAAACTGCCTGTCAAAGCCACTGGGGAGATGCAGCATGCACTGCAGGTCATTTCATGGCAGTTGTGATCGGAGACACAAATAAAAACATTAACAACCCATAGATATTTGTATTCTAATAAGAAAAGCACGGACATGCAGCCCGTGAAGGGCTGATGAGGGAGTGTGAAAGAGTGTCAAAACTCCATGTTAACGCAAGCTGATCCATGCGTGTTAGAACCTGCTTCCACACTCCTTTAACCAGCATGTAATGGAAGTATGTCTCATATGAACATGATCACGTCTGTGAGGCTGACATACATTTTTAAAAAACTGTTAAAAATTGTATTTGCGTGATTTGCAATGTGTGTACTTCGAGTCCTGCACGTTTTTTTTATCGCTCTTTTCTATGCAAACTTATAAAGTTGCAGGATTGTAATGACTATTTGATTAAATAAATTAATAAGAGTATTGCTGTGGGAGAGAAAGACTGTTTACTTCTGCAGCAGCCTCTGACTGAATACACTTGTTTGATCAGTGTCTTATCTAGTTGGTGTCAACTGTCCAGTCAGGTTGCCTGCTGTTCCAGCCTCAATGATAGTTACATCACATCAAAAAAGTCTGTTCTTCTTGTGCCGGATAAAGATCCACCACAGCGTATATCAGTCTGTGCAACATTGTTTTGCACAATTGGTTTAAATGGCACCAGAGAAGTTCAAATTACAGGTGTCTCATCAGTTTATTCAGTCTATGAGTTACTGTGTCAAATGTTGCCTCATCAACAATTGTCTGTATTCTGCATGTATGATTATAAAAAAAACATGCTTGCTTCTACACCTATATAGATTTAGGGCGAATACGCTCCCCCCGTCCACTCTTCACTTTGGAATTCAGAGATTTTAGAAAAGCCGTTCAAAGCCAACCCTGTATGCAACTTTCCCTGCTAACCGTTTAAGGCCCTTACAAAATGACGGGATGATAAAAATCAAGAATTATTTGGTGGAGAGTTAAAGAGAGTCAAGGAAGAATTTGACCAAAACCAGCAGGAGACAGGCAAGCACATGGCTGACATTACAGTCATCAAAAAGAAACCACAAGAGCTATAAAAAACAGACTCCTGATACAGATGCTACAACGCTTCGCCACAGATCTAACCATGGCACACGGGTATAAACAATTTGCTTAGAAACATCAGGCTGAAAAACTGCTAACAAAAATCCACAGATAGCATTTATCTTCCAGCAAAGCCTCTGGCAGCATCCCATAGCTTGTGTTTGGAACAGACCCTATAAAGTGCATGAATGACAGAGGAGTGGGTACCAAACCCCAAACAGTGACGGCGGCACAGGCAAATGTGTTCCTGGCGTCTCAACATGGCAGATACATGTTTATCTCTGACTGGCATCAAGGAAGGGCTTTGCCCACACCTGCCTGTGATATCTCATCAAAAACTCAGAAATCCGAGCGCTCGGCTAATGCTTTGGATCATGAAGGGAATCGGGAAATGTGTCAGAGGTGAAAACAGTGATGGATAGAGATAATGGGGACGATTACCCGTGTAAGAATTGTAAAAACAAGCATCAGCGGAACGGATTTATGGCAAGGCATTAATCTCATTTGCGTGGATGCAAGTGGACAATGAAGGGTGTGGCGCTTTAAGGGGTCATAACTCAAAACAAAAGCAAAGCTAAAGGTTTGCCAAGAAAAACATTTTCAATTTTTAGCATCAGTGTATTAGTCATGACATTTCATGATTTCCAGGGATGCTGTGGAGGGGTCCAGGGGTAGCACTGGGAGAAAAAAAGTGACTTCTGTTGAGGTTGGGAGAAAGTATGGCAGTAACAATTTCTGGCAGAAAGGCCCTGCAGTTTTTAGTGGACATGTTTGAATCAACTCTAAAGACATATAAGGTGGGTTTAGAACTTAAGAGTGACCAAAAACACAGAAAATAACATTAAATGGAAAAAGATTCATTGAATCCATTAAAAGAAACACACAAGTAGATGTTTGGAGTCGCATGACTCTCCCACTCTTTTTCTCCCAGTCATAAAACAATTTACAAATGATTGGTCTGGCTGCCACTCACTGTTGACAGCAATGAACTAATGCTTCATGTGCCTGAAACCAGTTTTGTCCAACACACTGCCAATCGGCCACCAAAAAAGCCATGAGAAAGTGGAGAATAGGCCGAACAGGAGGGAAATGGCTGGTTGTGCTATTTAACACACTCAAAAGTAACCAATTGCATTATATGCATGATAAACTTTCTGAACAGAGCCAAACGTGAGTCAACACAGAACAAGAAAGCTATTCAGTTGCTACTTACCAATAGCACCAACAGGGCTAAATCTGCATGTGTCCGTCATTCTGTTTTTTCCCCCTTTGCTCTCAGCAATGGAATTCAATCTGTTGTTTATTCTTGTCCTGTCTGTGGCCTGTGCATTTTATCTCTTTCCTTACTTCCTCAGATAGCGCTGTCTGGGGTCTTTTCACTGCATCTGCACCGTGGATTTTTTTTTCTTATTTTCCCAAACTGAGTTTGTTATGGCGAAAGTCCCTTCTTTTTGTTTTTTGTCTTGTTAATCTAGTGTTGCAAAAGTGTGTTGCTATCAAGTTGTTGGTGCGTGATGTGATACCATCAAGCAAAACAAAAGGCAAAGTTGTAACTCAGCCTTTAGCAGCAGGAGAGCTGCAGGCCAGAATACAGGCAGAGTGATCATCACAGTGCTGACCAACAAAGGCTCATGATAGGTTTGTTCAGAAACCAGCAGGGTCACTTGCACTGTACAGGCCTTCCGCACCTCTTACAGAGGCAGATTACTTGTCTTTCAGAAGCTTCTCCAGCAATTTCACCCCAACCAGCAGTATGGCAGAAAGCTTCATCTGGCTTTTCTGGGCTCATTGGTATATAAGTACCCTGGTCCATTTACTGATTTTGAGTTGTACCTGTAAATATTCTTGCATGTGGACATGCAAACTTTGGATTATTCCTGAAAGTAGAAAGTGAAAATGTGTATATCTATTACACAACATTCTTTGTGTTTGTGTTGAGTAAATTTCCCCTACGTGAGAAAAATCTAAGTTTACATTTGTCTGTCAGTCTATCGCTTTTTAAGCTTTGCTTCATCTGCTTATACTGATGAGCCTCCTTTGATTTGACCATACAAGGAAATAAATGTGTTTGCATTCTTGTTGAGTGTTTGATGATGGGGATACTGATACAACTTCCCCGAGTCTGGTAAAAAGAACAGGCTGCAGTTTTACACGGGGTTATAAACCGAACACTTTCTTTGCCAAGTGCAGTGACTGAACGCAACCCTCTGTAAAACAGCTTGTTTTGTTTGTGCCTGCTTCCAGACTGAGCAAAGCACACAGTTATGAGAATGGGATTGATTAGTTTGTTTGAATCTTGAGGGATAAAAAGCGCTTGTTTGTTTTAAAAACATTTGTGACTATTCCCTCAGATTCTCACCAAGACTTATCGATTGGGCTGATGTACAGACGGCCAGATAAGAGAAGGCAGAAACATTTACCTGGCACACCTAGAGCAGATGTTGAGTGTAACTTTGGCCTGCGGTTCAGACGGATAGGAGCTGCGTCCCTGGCTGAACTTACTGCCGGATGGGGCCAGCCCCGTCACGCCCTCCATGCGCAGGTCATCCAGGTCCTCTGAGGGCAGAGGGAGGTAACAGCAGAGGATGGAGAAGCAAAACAAGGAAAATGGAGAGAAAACAAGAAACAGAAAGGACAGCCATTAATCATCCTTTGTCTCTCCCTTGTAAATTTTATGCCTCGTGATGACAGTCTGCTGAGAGTCAAAGAAGGAAGCGTGACCACAGCAGTAAGTAAACATTATCAGCCCGGCCATGCTGATGTGTTCCCTCACAGGCACGCCATCCACACATGTTCCTCCACAGGAACATGCAGATTTTTAAACTTTGTCACTGCTCTCATCACCACGAAACCCATTTCTTTTGAGGAAAAGTTTTGAGGGAGTTGATGACAAGGCCACATCATGGCCGCACAGAAACAGGAAGGGCAATGGGCTGAGGGCGAAGGGGGCAAAACAATGCAGTGGGTGAGAAAATATGCACAAAGGTTTGGAGAGGGAGGGAGATGGAGGGCTGGAAAGTTGGGTTTCGTCTGATCTCTCACTGTGTCCTAAAAAACGAACAGTCACTGCTGAGCACGAACTCACACTCTCATCTCTCTGAAACTAAAGAAGTCCATATGTATCAGACACACCAGGGCTGCTCATGCTGGCTCTTAGTGTTTTTCTCTCTCGTACTCCGGCAGCTGCATGTGGACACCGAGTTAACAGGTGCAGGGGACCTTTTTTTTTCTATTATACATATTAATAGTATTTCATCTGCTTTATCTACATTCCCACTCTTTAAGGCATCTGCTTAACATCAAACTACAGCTGTACCCTGTGAGTTGACACTCTGTCCAGTGAAGGCGATTCAGGGCTGAGCAGAATCAGCTGCCCTTTTCAACATGGGCACAGCATCCAGTCCACTTCTGTCATAGAGGCCGTTTTGGTAAAACAGAGAAAGAGCGCTGAGATCCCACCAATAACCAGACTAATGGCCAAAAGAGTCAAGTACTGACGTAAAACAATATCAAATCAATGCTATTAAATAGCACAGCAGAGACTTATAACAGTTTGTTAATAAGCATCAAAAGAGAGCTTCTGAATGAGCCAGACCACTTTGGTTTTTTGAATGCTTTCCCGTGAGGTGAAACATACTGCAGGACTTTCCACGTCGCAGATCCGGCCGTGAGAACGAGCAGGGAGCGGGTGTTTTGGACTCCTGCTCTGTTTTAATGTGCTGGTCAAGCCTTTTCTTTTATGCTGTTCAATGTTGAATCAACATTTTCAGTGGTCACCATGACAATGTTTGGGCTGTTCTTCTCACACTAGTAGAAGGGTTGAGGAAAGGAGGAAGGTCACCCTCAGGACACACTCGATTCATGTTACTCCGCACCGTACGTGCCTGACTCTCTGTGTGCTTAGTTATTTGAAACCAACAATGATACTTTTTTCTTTCGGGATCATATTTGGAGGAGGAGAAAATGGGCCTCACACCTTGCAATAAGAGAATGCATGACTAATCACCTGGATTATATTGGATGACACTTGTTCATGAGAACTCTTTCACTCCATCCATCCATCCATCAGCATGGCCGAAATCCAAAAGAGTCCTATCTGTCTCCCGTCTCCTCGGGTGTCGGGAAGCATTCCTGACACAACATCTAAACACAGCACTTCAATGTGAATCATTCCTGACCTGTCACAGTAAGCCACAAGTTGTCCAACAAAACCAGTTAGCACATTTCTCAATTTTACACTTATGAGCAAAGCTTCTGACTCCCAGAGCACAAGTTGCTATTTACGAATCTTATTGAGAGTGAAATGGGCATTTTGCACATTGCTGGCTGCTGGCTTTATTTGAAATAACATAGTAAATTCCTGCCTAGTTACTCACACACATACAAAATAAAAATGTCGTAAACAAGTCAAAGAAGATTGACAAAGGATCTTGTTCACCTCACTTCAGGATCACTTCCATCAATCTGAAGAACTGTTTGCCTGCTTGTTAGGGGGATAACCAGATGGGTGACAGATCGGGATACAAAGTATTTGATTTGATTTTGGACAGTTATTCGTGGTCTTCACATGGCACAAGCTGCTAAGCTGACAACAACAAACCCAAAGGTTTTTGACCAGTTTAGATAAAACCATCTTTTAATTCACTCCTATTATTTTAAACAAGTCCTGTTGTAATTGTTTAGCTCCATCAATTGTATCAGCAGTAAAGTCCCAAACGACAATTCTGTTCGTGGCTCTGAGTAAAACGATCTGATCATAAAGTCTGAAGCATTCTTACTTTTCCAGCATTTTGGTCTTTGACATCATTAATGTCACTCACACACCAGCAGAGAAAAAGGCTTATTTTAGTGTTTTGAGAAGGGCAGATAAGCCACATTCCTGTAATACCCTTAAGCAGGGCAATATTAAATATCCCATTCATCATGGAATGCATTGGAGAGGTGGAGCCAGAGAGAGCCACCAGCGATTTGGGCAATTTTCTGGTCGTGGGAACTGCTCACTTTGGTGCCTTCCTCTGTTCCCTTTTCTCCTCATCCACTCCCACTTCTTTCCCTGATAGCTATTACCCCCTCTTTTGGCTACCGACTAATGTGGCATGCCGGATTTTCTTTGGGTCATAGCCTGTCATACAAATCATTACTTGACACTTGGAAAAATTCACTTGTGAGAATGCAGCTTTCATGAAATACAAAACGAATAGCAGCAATCAGCCCTGACCCTGAAAGAGAACGTGACCTCAGTGTGCACAGCTGCCTGTCACCTCAACCCCACCTCCGTCCTTTCAGCTTGTTTTCTTTCGGACGCAAACAATATGACACAATAACAGAGAGAGGCTCGAGATAAAGGTCACTGAGGTAAACACAGGCTTTTCTCCAGAGTGCATCCCACACATAAGACAGATTAAAGGCTGCCTGAAAGAAATGTAGCAAAAGCTGAAACATGGAGAAATGAGGCCCGTCATTTTGTCCAGAATCGAGACGATCTGTGTGCTCAGTCGATTCTCCCGTATCTGATTGGTGAGGCTCCTTTCAGCCTAACAACAGAAGGCATTGTTTGAGATAAAGCAGATGGAAACAGTTTACTTCTTCTGCTTTGTGTGTGCTACTTTTATGTGTTTGCATGTTTGCGGATATGGAAGTGAGGAATCAAACACAAGCCATGCCACAAAACTGCAAAAGCTTCAGACCCCAATTGCCCCATTTTAACTACTTTATTGGTCCTGGATGTAACTCATTAAGATGGCATGCAATAAGCTTGTTCAGACCTGGAGCGATCTCCGTATGCGTCTCATTGAGTGCTTTCAAAATGTAATTTCTATAGAAACAACTTAATCTTAATAATGCCTTAAGAAATGTTGCAGACTTACATGTGTGGAACAGCAGCCATGTAATCTCTGAGGCTGGTTTCAGGTCACAACTTTCTTCAACAGGGGGAAGGAGAGGTGACACATTAGCCTGTTCACACTTTACCTCTGAAAATGGCCTGTCAACAGAGAGCTGAAATGATGAACTGTGAGGTTTGGGTGTTAACGTTATAAATGGGTTCTTCCATATACACGTGCAGCCACGTGAAAAACTCACATTCTAAAGTTTCCATTATCAGGACAACAGGAAAATGTACAGTCTTTACCAAGCTCCTAAAATGATGTAAATACAAACTCAGATAAAAAAAACTGATGACATTTTCCACCATGAAATGGACTTTATTAACCGATTGTCAGCAAGTTCGAGCAACTCTATGGAAGCAGAAGTTTTGGTGGACTGTTGAGCATTCAGGTGTGTTTGACACAATGCAAAGGAGGACTGCAGTGATCTTAGAAATAACTGTGGCCGCCCATCAACCTAAGTCAGACTACTGACCGATGTGGCATGGATTAAGTACAAGTGGGAAACAATGTAAGTGGCTGACAGGCCTCATGAGAGTGGACGTTACACCAAGTTCAGCTCTCGGTCAGCTCATGAAATACTTAGACACTCCTGGCATACAGATAATAATCACTACAAGTTATCAATGCTTACAGAGTTTGGAAACTGTCTTTAGAGTGAAACTGAAAGGTTTCATGTTGCCAGGAGTACATTTTCTAGGTATAAGCGTCAACTTTTGGTGGACGTTGATTCTCTCCTCGGCGTGCCTCCCACACAGAGCCACCGTGATACGTTTACTGTGCGTCTCCCGCAAGACCAGTTTACCCTGAGACCATGACAGCCTCCCGGGCCTCCGTCTAGACACAACAAACGTCTGTCCACACTCTCCCGTTTGTCAGCCCGTCACATTTTCACTCCCCGGGCACTGGGGCAACCATGCATGCTCCCCCTGTCTCACGACAAGACATGGCAGATAAATAAAATGTGCCTTCACCGCAGGGGGGGGGGGGGGAAACTATTCAAGCGATGCAATCCCAACAAAAGGCCTGAGTGATGAGGAATTCCGTGCCGCAATCACTCACTCACAAGTGAAGCCAAAGAGGAGTGTAGCGGAGCGCGCAGATAAAGCGTCCGCGTGCTCCTCCCTCCAAGTTTCCGTGTACCGTAATTAGCTGTTGTTTAAACTGCTCTCCGTGAGGCTGAGAACGGAGCCCAAGTCATAATTAGCTTACCAGTTTCACCAATGACTTAATGTACACCTTCTCGGATGAGACGCTGACAGATATACGGGGCTGGAATCTTCCCCGGCGCTATGGCGCACGTGGAGGCGGGAGGTGCGCGCGCACGCTCCAGCATCTTCCACCCCCCCCCCAGCGCCGCGTTCACGGCGCTTCGGCGGCTGTGATTTATCGAAGTGAAATAATTTTCCATTCTTTCATGAGCACCGGCGACGTGTGGCCACAAAGCCGGGGCTGTGGTTAACAGCCGGCGTGCCGCAGATGCTTCGCTGCTCACGGCGCACAGAGAACACACACACACACACACACACACGTGCGAGCCGCACGCGCACACAAGCGCGGATCTAAAACCGAAAGGCGCACGGCAACACACGCAGCGACACTTGCAGACCTCACACTTGTGCCGCCCTCACACATACAACCGAGCATTTGTGTTCCATTACGGCTCAAACACGATGCCTGCACTCGGCGGTTTGTCGTCACACGGGCGTCTTTGATGCGATTCGCGACAGAGACACATTTGTTTGGCTTGGTAATAAAAACAATACTCCAACGTACAAATCATAATTATGTGTAGGCTTTCAATGGCACCGTCACTCTAAGAGTCTGGCCTCTCGGCCTAAAAATACGACTGCTATGCTCTGAGCCTTCACAGCTCTGAGAGCGGCAGTAAAACCCTGATCAGAATCAGATGGGGACACACATGAGTGGGGTAACATCATAGGTTTGAGGTCTGTGGAAAGTCTTATCACAGAGCTCGCTGCAAACCTTCTTGTAAGTCCCTCTCCAACCGCAAATATAAAGATTAGAACTTAGTGTAGACACGGCAGCTCGGTGTATTGATGAATTGCAGTGCCAGTCATTACTGTTCAAGAGATTTTTTGGGGGGGGAGAGATACTCCATCTATGTCGTAATGCACATCAAAACATCTGTCTGCCAGGACCAAGGGTGGCATCTAAAGTTTAAAACAACTGTTAATCAGTGGCACAATATTGAAGGAGTCAGTCAAGGAGAAAAGAAAGTCTCTAAAGTCCTTTTTAGAGAGGATGAACAAAAGGACCTACAAAAAAATGCAGAAAAAAGTTTCTTTTGCAAATTTCTCTGTCTAAAAGGTAGATGCAGCTACGTCTGAGCAGTCATCCAAACTAAAACACAAACACCCACCTACAGTACTGTATCTTCAGGTACAGATCTCAGAAGTCTGCTGATTTCCCAAATCTTAAATCTTGAAGTTAACGGTAGCCAGGAAACAGTGACGTCCCAAGCCAAATAACCCAGAAAAACATAAAGCATCTGTTCACACAAGTTTTTTATCTGTGACTCTAAAAAAACAGCACTATGCACAGATTACACACTTGTCCGTCTATCTACAATCTTTCAATTCAGTCTTACTGCACGAGCCATAGTCCAATATCAGTGTAACCATTCCGCTCGCTACCTCGAGATTAATCTGTAAAACCCCATCTGAGGTGCACATGAGGGCGGGAGGTGATCGCTGCTATTAGGCCGTGCGCCACAGTCTGGTTAGGTCCTGATTTATAATATGATCACATCGGTCTGCTTGCCTATGGGTAATCGTTTCCAGTAACATCACCGTAACACCAGAGCAATTTGCCTCTCGATTAACACATCCATCTGCACCGTGGAGACTTTTACAGGCATCAAATTGGCCGCAGTAACACTTTTACTGGGGGAGGTTCTTTGTACCAACAGGCCGGCTAAACCTTCAGAGGTGAGCCAGACTCTTTCAAGCTGGTATGCTGCGTAAAAGATTTAGTACCGAAACGACTTTCACCACTGAAATATAGTATAAGTCCTAGCCTTACGTCCTCCCTTCACCTCAATGCGCCACGATGACACGGCTTTGTTTTTGCATGTTTACAGTGTTGCCAAGGCAACTGTTGTGTCTTCAGTTGTTTGGGCAACAATGAGGGAGGCAATGGAGGTGATTGGAGTGTGTGTGTGTGTGTGTGTGTGTGTGTGTGTGTGTGTGTGTGTGCGCGCACGCATGCGCCTGTGAGGCCACTGGCGTCAAGAAATGTAGCACTTGTCTGCTGACATTGGCAGTGGGACCACGTGCAGGGATGTACGCGTACATTAAGTTAATCTACCACAAGCGTAATGAAATAAGCTCTGCTTTTAACAGCCTTTGCTTTCGACTTTTGCAAAACAACTTTCCAGAGGCAATACTGGTCGTTTTTTCCACTGCATGCATTTCTCAGCTGGAAATTTAGATATAAGAAAAAGCATTTACACTCTCCTCAGCTGAAATTTTGCATCTCATAATAAACACAAGGAAGAATCACATGGCTCAAACCAGGCTTTACACTTAGGCAGATACAAGATAGAACTGCCAGATGACACAAATTACAGGAATTATTTAACTAGACTTAGCTAAAAGATTATTTAACAACTGATAAACAACTGAAATGCACACAGAGCATGTACAAATGAAGTCCACCCCTTGATCAAATAGCTTTCAGAGCCACCTTTAACAGTACTAACATGACGTAATTGTTTCCTACACAATGTTATCAGTCTGTCACATCATCGTGGAAAATGTTGGCCTCTTCTTTACGAGATTGTTTAAATTCTTTGAGGTTCCTAGCCATGGACTCATTCACAGCTCTCTTAAGGTCCCACTCAACAGAATTTCAGTCAGGCTGACATTGGATTTTGACTCTGATTCGACCATTGTAACACCTTGATTCTTTTTATTGTTTCGGGATTTGCTGCTGTGTTTGTGATCGCCGGTGTGTTTCACGATCCAAATCCTAATAAAGGTCTACCTGTCGGACAGATTGCCTCAAGTTCATTTAGAATACTTTGGGATATACAGAGGAGTTCATCTATGACTCAATTACAACAATGTGCTCTGGTCCTGAAGCTGAGAAACGAGCCCAGATCATCATCCTCTCCACCACCGCTCTGAACAGTCCAAACTGTATCAGAAACATCTTTGCTCTCATCCATCTGAAGGACATTGTCTCAGAAATCTTTTGCTTTGTTCGAAAGCAACTTTGCAAATCTAAGCTGTGCCACTATTATCTTTTTTTTTCTACAGACACTCTTTCCCATTCACGTGCTAAGTGTAGAAACTATTGCTCTTGTTTAATTGGGAGAAAAACAACACCATTCGATAGCATTGAAAATGGTTTCACAAGTAACAAGTAATGCATCCATCTCAGCACCTAACTAGGACCACCACAATTCAAACAAAAACTCAGAGGCCTTGTAGGCAATGTTACGCAGATCACTTTTATGTGAAATTTTAGGCTGGTTGAAACAGGGAAGATTGTGAAGAAGAAAAAAATCTTCTAATGTGCTGTACTGTAGGCATTGCTTGATCAAAGAGGATACGGGACTCTCAAACAAAGAAGCCACACACAGTAACTGTAACTCATCCGCCAGTCCCTGACAGAGCTTTATCACACTCTCATCTTGTCCCCGTCAAATCTTCACTGCTACTCTTACATCCTCCTCTCCTGTTTCAGGAATCACGCCAGAGTGGGTTGACTTACTGAAAGGGGTTTCTGCCTAATTCAGGGGGGGTTCTGTCATATAGTGTTGTTTTAGACCAAGAGAGGCTCTGCTCCCCTCTGGAAGAATGAAAATGTATATGTGAGATGAGCTCCACCACAACACTCCCACATTGTTGCTTCTTTAGGCAGCAGAAAATGAAAGCCTACCATTTCCTTGCACATTTTGCATTGCTTCTTATGAGGATATTGTTTTTTCAACGCCAGCGTGTGCCTAAATTAAACCCGTTTCAAACATGTATTCTCTGAAATGGCACATATCCACCATGGACGACACAAACAGTAACTCTGCAGCAAGGAGGCGGCTAAGTTGTAGCATAAAGTAACCATAAAATAACACTGCAAGTCTAAAGATTGGGCGTTTCTCCCCACACTCTGAACTCAGCTTGTTTCTCGTTGGAGATAAGTATATAACGGCAGTCTCACCACCACCCAGCAAATGCTAGAATCCTGAAATGTTCCATCTTTTTAAAAGGAAGATGTGAGTCATTTTCAATAAGCCTTTGACTGTGAAGCATTTTAAGCGCCAGTCGCTGTACCTGTGAGGAACTATCAGTGTTAGTCAGAGTTAGTACCTGAGCTGGCATTATTTCCCTCTTTTTGGAGCAATCTGAGACAAATCAACCTTAGGACATGTATTTGGTTTAAGAACTGCACTACAATGGGAAGTCTTGGCTAGCAGCACTACAAATCATTCCAGAAGGTATCCTATTATTTTTCACATACGTTTTGTCATCCAGGTGCTGGCAATAACAAACCCAGCATGGAAAACTTTTCTGCTTAATAGGAAAATAATGATTGCTCCCTGTATCTTTTAAGCCTGTTTGAAGGATACAATATAGCCTCGCAGACAGGTTGTAGTTGAGACACAGCAGGGCTAACAAATGCACCTTTCCTGCCTCCTAGTGGAAATCTGGCAACGTGTTTAGTCCTCATCGTGTCTCTGAACTCCACTCTCAGATAACTGTGACTGATCACAGCAACACGACTGGCTCTTGTCACTTCTCACGATCGTATTTGCTCTCAGTTGTGTTGGTTGGATTTTTCTATGCTGATCATTATTCATAAGGTGAGATGAATGCAACGAACACAAGGAGACACTTATGATGCACATCTGGAGTGAACATGTGTTTCTTCAGGATGAGTTTTGGGATTTCCCATAACAAGATTGCAGTGCATCAAAAAATAGAATAATAGAGGAAGAGGAATAAAGCCTGGGAAAGTCTTTCTATCAGATCAATATAAATATCATAAAAACAATCATCAACAACAAGAATTGAATTAACATTACTGCTTCAGTAAAGATTTTTCACACAAATGTAATTAAATATTTCAGCCACAAGAGGGCATCCTGAGCAAATAATTTTAGATTCCAGCTATGAATAAGCTCTTAGAGAAGTTGCACGAGTAAGGACGTCCATCAACCTGTTTCTCATGTCAGCTTTATCCCATAGAAAGTCGAAGAACATTGTAGAATCATTTCTAGACTTAACTTGTAGAAATGACATTGTTTATCTGACTTTTTGTAAATCTGAACTTTTGATGTGTCACTTCACTTGCGTCATTTCCAGGTGTTAAAATCGTGTTATTCATATCTTTAACCGGTCTGACTGGACCAGCCTGACAGGCTCCAGGAGCACTGCTGGGCAGATGATGGCATGTTTTTATCTTTAAAAGGACAGCAACAGGGTAAAAAGAAAAGAAAGGTGTCCACTGACAATCAATGTTCTACCACAAATCAGCCGCTGTCTTTGGCATGCATCTGATCACAGCAACTACATTTGCCTTCTTCTAGAATAAAGCCCGGAAAGTCTCCTGGGTGTCAACCATTTCTTTGAGCTGCTAGGTTAGTAGACCCACAGCAATTAGTTCTACAGCAGCGAGGAAGCAACACAGAAACAGCATCTCTGGAGAACTCCTGGAACAACCCCTGACAGAAAGTCAGGAATGACCTCGCTGTGTTGTTTCTTCTGATTTACAACCCTGGACCAGAGTAAAAGCCACTGAGGGACTATACCTCGGTTTTGGAGTTATGATCAAGGAGACCACCAACATCCTGCTTTATAGTTGTATTTATCACCATTATGTACTGCTGTCCTGGGTCTCGGCTGTGTGAGGCTGATGCAAAAGGGGAGCCACTTATGGCTACAAAAGAGAAAATAACCAAGCCAATGTTTGTATGTGGTGTATATCTGGATGCAATATGGGCTTGTTGATTGCTCATGCAGGTTTGATAAAGGATTACAGTGGAGCTTGTGAACAACCCTCTAAGGGCTACAATTTTCAGCCTCAGGAGCAGGAGAGGTCAACACAATGTGTGAGTAAAAATCTGATTAATTTCAAAACTGACTCTCAGCTGCAGATTCTGAGCCATTAAAAATAAATCAAAACAGGAAGCAAAGAAAGCTGCAAACATGACCAGAAGAAAATTATTTGTGTAAGGGTTTTGTTAAACTATATTGCAACTTCAACTCGAGGGCATATGTGTTACTCATCTTATTACATTTAAAAGAAAATTGCATGGCTTTGATATCTGAACATTTGTTTGAGCTTCAGTACGTGCAACCCGTGAGCACTCTGTCACACATCAATGATACAACGTGACCCCGTGGATGACCCTGATGCTAACAAGCAGAAAAACCTCAGCGCTGTCACAGAAGCGCAGAGAGCGAAGGCATACGTAGATTGTGTGTGTCACAGCAGAGCAAGCGGCTCAAGGAGACGAGTCTGAGAGATGCTGAAGCTCTCTAATTGTGGCACATGTTGAGAACAAAAAAGGGTGTACCGTGGGTTGTTATTCCTGAAATCTATATGGCATGACAGCCATCATCCGGCTAACCTGCAACACAATGTGTGTAAAAGTTAAAGTATTAGCTACACCGAAATATTGTGTAAATATTTCTGCGCAGTGTGACTTTCAGCTAGTTTATAGAGGAGACACCATAGCACATCACAGATACACAATGGGAGGCCCACAAGCTGGCATCAACACATCTAATATTTTAGCCACCAGGTTCAATTGGCATAAAGCCTATAATCCTGTGTTTGGACAGGCAGCAAGCTCTCTGACTCGGATGCACTGGTTCCCTGCTACCTGTCCATCTCAGGTGAGTATGAGGTGGCATGACTGGCATGTGAACAATAAGTGCTCAGATTTGGAGAGGTAAATCAGAGCTGCTACTCTGTGATTCTCCAGCTGTCAGAGTGTAAAGGTAGACTCACTGGGTGAGGATGCCGAGCTAGAATATGTAATTAGGGGCAGCAGTTCCCAGCTTACATACGCGTATGCTGCTTTGATAGGTTTGACAGATGTAACAGTTCTCTTTCCACGAAGCTGTTCCCAACTTGTAATTAAAATCATTCCACTTTATGTCAGGTAAAATGCTAACGTTACCTAAACAGAATCTACTACACTTCCCCGAGCAGCTGCCGTCCTGTTTTTATCAGCGTTTGATCCTGCTTTATTCAAAGTCAATTCATTTTGTAATGAATCCAAATAAATTCGGAACATGTACTAGAGTACTCATCAAAGCTGTTCAGATTGTCAAACAAAGAAGTTTGAAAGTAGTCAGGTTACTTCTAACATGTCAAATGTTAAAAACCCATTTAAATATCAGCCTACTCTAGAAAGTTTCACTTGTTGTTCTGTGTTCTTCAGTGTTCTCTGCAACAATGACATAAAAAACATACAAAAAACATAATATTCTTTTGGAGTGTAAAAACAAGTGTTTGAAACACTAGACACCATGTCTGGTTCAGGAGCAGCTCAGCATGAAACCACCTCTGTTTGAGCTTATGCAGCATCGGCTTGTGTCATTACCCAGGAGCTCCATAGCATCGTCCTCGTCCTCAATCTCTTCTTCCACAACAGAGGGGCTGGGGCTGTTGAACGAATCAAAGGAGTCTTGAGACAACATGGCCGCCAGGAGCTTCTTGTGATGCTGCTGCTGTTCCTTTAGCCCTTTGCTCTTTGTATCCATCTTCAGGCTGAGACACACAAGATAGTCATTCAGTTACAAAGGAGAAGTCTAATCTTTTTCAACTTAATGAAAAGCTTGTCTGTACATTTTCACATGTAATTGTTCTAGTGTCTGAAAGTTTTTACTGTGACGTTATCATTATCCATAGTGACGAACAAAGTTAGTCATTCATCATAACTTTCCTCCACTTGTTATTTTTATGCCTCTGATTTGCCAGCCTCCTATCTAACCCGACTGCTGCCAGGAGAAAACACTGTTATCTGCTCAGCTGTGTGCAGACGGTATAGGTGACTGCATTCCAGGGTTGTCGATAGACAAAACACCACGGAGTCTTTTCAAGTGTCATGCAGGTAGTGTACACCCATCTATAAAAGGCTGGCAGGCAGAAGATAAGGCGGGGTAATTGCTCTGAGCCGAGTAACGGTTGTACTGCTGACCACAAACCATTAGGACTTTCAAGGATGTTAGTTTGAAAAGACACCCTGAGCTCAGATTTTATGGACAGGATTTTTTTTATTTTACAACCTTTGTAGCTTGTAGTCCATACAGGTGCCCACAATCAGATTGGGAAAACTGACTGAGAACAAGAAAGCTGCCAGAAAGTAACCAAAAGACAAAAAAATGAAATATAAAAATTTAATCTGAATCCTTCAGGTCCTGTATTCTCAGATGTTCAAAGAGAGAAGTACTGTCTTATTTCCATTTAAATTTCATGTCCATACCATACTATCTATTGTACAATAACACCTATCTCACATAGTCATTTGTAATGATAAACTGAGCCTTTTCATCCTCTCAGGATTCAGCCGTGGAAATGCGGTTCTTGCAGCAGTAGCTGCCCCGTAAGGCCTCAGTTGTCAGGCTTTTCTAATGCAAAACTAGGAGATAGAAAACACCTCTCTGCAAGTTCTCATCTCCAAAGGTTTCTTCTTGTGTTTCGCCTCTGTATTACAAAAACACAGGAGAAATTCATTTCCATATCTCTCTTACTGAAGACTATTCATTTGATGCTAATCTCCATTTCTATGGTCAAAAGATGCCATCATATACTCTATGTGATATTCCTGTCATTTACACCAAGTAATACGATTGTAAATATGAGACGTGTTTAACACGTTTTTCTCTTCTTTAACTCTATTCTTCTCGTCTTTTGAATTAGAATGTACAAATTTGCAATGGTTAAAAAATAGATGGAAATAACATGAATGGGGAGGTTGCATTTCAATTGATGGTCAAAATAAACAATTGCCTTGAACCTTGATTTCCCATGGGCCCCTTTAATGAATCCCTCATAGTGCATAAGAAGAACTGGCACCACCTCCTGATCATCAGTGTCAGTAGGCTGTAGCAAGTATTCAGAGCAACATGTTTGCGATTGAAAAAAGCCAACAAGGAGAAATGTACTTGGCAAGGAAGAATAATATAAAAAAAATCTAAGAGTTCTAAATGTATGAACACCAGAGGGGATAGCCCATTAAGACTCACAAGCTCAGAGGGGATTTCAAGATGAGGACAGTGCTGTTTTTTGCCAGTTTTCCATTAGATAAGAGAGTTCATTTATAGCCTCTCCTACATAAATCATAAACGTATCCAGAGAATCCTAAACTCCAAAGTCATTATATGACACAAAAACTAAACTAATACATTTATGTTGTTTTATTTAGCTATTTTTGGCTTTTGCTTTGGTTCTAAACAGCTCAGATTAGATGAGAGTGTGCGTCCCCAAACACTTGTAAGTGCAAATGTAGGTTCCCAGCAGAAGGATTTAGATGTGAAAGATACGATCTGTCTGACGAGCCTCTAAACAAACAAGAGGAAGCCCCTCCAAACACCCAGCAGCGCAAGTCTCTAACACTTGTGAGAAACACATCTTTTTTTTAACACAGTGTTGAGTATGTTAGTGAGCCCACACACACTTCTGTCTCCCAGCTCAGGCTTCTAAGTGACTTCTCCTCACAATCCAACCTTAAAGTAACCTAATGAGATTAAAACTGTGTGTGTCATCTGAGGCCTGCAAAAGATTTATGGCTTTATATCCCTCCTCCTTTAATTAGTCACATCTGAGGCTGGACTGCATAGCACACTCACGCAGACATATAGAAAAAAGTTCAGATTGATATAGTTCAGGTTGATTAATGAAGTTATTATTACAATTTTCTGTCTTCTACTCATTTGGAACAGTTATACCCGGATTACCACTTAAACAAGTCTGAGCATAGCCAAAGAAAGTATGGAAGTATGGCGACAGGAATAAAGTTATCTGTATTTTTAAACTTCCCCAAAACATGAGCAAAAAAAAATGTTTCTAAAAAAAAAGACTTCCCAAATTTAAAGACAATCGTTTAAACAGTTCATCACATATTTGTGTTATACTGACAATGAGAAGCTATTTCGAAATAACAGGGGCATTTATCTTGCCTTGAGCATGCAAAAATTAGGTTAGCTTTAATTAAAAAACTAAGCTGAGGGAGTGTCATTGGAGAATGTTTGATCACTCCTTTGAAATGGGATTATCAAACCCATTCAGATGGGTATTTCACTGGCTGCTCCAGCTGGGTCTACCGCTTGACTTTTAAAGCGCCAACATTAGCTTTTTGGACTTCCTTAAGTTTTCTCATTCCTCTTCTCTTGTGACTGACCTCCGAGCGGGGCTGTTGTCTCCGCTCCAGCACACCTCCGTTTTGGTCCGGGGGACAGGTGGGTGCAGCATCTCAGCAGCCAGTGGATCTGCATCGACCTCCTCCCGGCCGACCCACTCCCCCACCACCCGGGGGCGCAGGACAGAGTTGTATCCCCCAAAGTTCTAAGAGATGGATATATAATCAGAGTGGAAGCATCTGTAAATATGAAGGCGGGTGGGTTGTGATGCAAATTTAAATCACAGGTGAAGGTGAGTGAAACCAAGTAAATTTTCGAACAAGTACTTTGAGTCACTGCATTCTTTACAGTGACTTGTGTTTTGTTTATGCAGCCAAACCACATTTACACCTAACTCAATCCAAAAGGCAAATATATCTACTGGTACCGACTAAATCAAAGGGTATGCAGATTGTGCTGCGTCTGCATTTTTACAGCGGTTGCTTGGTATTTCGTTTACATCTTCCCGCCCCCAGAAAGTGGATGTTGGATACACGCTGCTATACTAAGCTAAATGTAAAATCTCTGTCAAAACAGAGGAATCCATTCCACATGGATCCCTGCAGCTCTGCCTGGGCAGCTGTTTTATTGGGAAAGAATTGGAAGCAGATGACGACGAAGACTGAGTTATTGGAGTAAGAGGAACAGTGAGGCAGCAAGACACAAGAAGATGGAGGACAAGGTCAGTGAAGTATCACTCCCATGAGAACTTTTAGATTTGATCTGCTGTACCTTGAAAAGCTCTGACATGACAGGGCTATTTCTCACAAATGAAATGGCTCCATATATAGAAATGACTGTCAGATTCCTGGTCTATTTAATATGTACATACCTGGTCCAGGTCATCGGAGATGGCAATGCCTTCAAGAGAGGAGAAAATGGTGTCAAAAGCACACAGAGCAGCTCAAAGTGGGTCAATTACAGAAAATTGTGGACATTACTTTTACCCTTGCCCTTGAGGGACAAAGATTGGTTGTTGGCCAATTTTGAGGAATTTTCTGCTACAAATGGTCTTAAAAGTCCTCAGTCAAAAAATCAAGGATTCCTCTGTAACATTTTCCAGCTCAAAGATCATCAGAATCTTCCTATCCTTAAAATTCTCTGACATCTTATTTGTCTGAGGCAACCAACAGGCTGTGAAGATTCGACTTTAACCCTCTTATTTCTATGCAACAGGGTGCCCACGCATGGCTGGCTGGCATCCTACTGACTGCAAACACCTGACTCTAATTACATTTTGGTCTCATTAGTTTTATTAGGTTGTCTAGACCTAATTGGAGGACTCTATAGACTGTATCAATAGAGGTAGTAATGTCACTGACTGGTCTGTGGACATCTGCCTTAAAGAAACAGCAATTGGCATATGTGACTGAAACCATGGAAACAACATGTTTCATGGTTTTAGTAGTCATGTGTAGTAGACTGAGTTTTCTCAAACACATCCTCAAATTTGGGCTTTTGAAAAAAAGAGTAGAAAATCTAATAAAATTCAGTTTTAATGCATTTCTCCACTATTCACGTTTCAGAACTTCATGTTTTGTTTTATGCTGTGTTAGACCCTGCTCAGTCAGACGTTAAACGGGTTCTGTACTGAGGTCAGCCACTCACTGCGTGACAGGCTCTCCAGAGCCTTGCCAAGTTTCTTGCTCTCCTGCAAAATGTGGTTGAGCTCATCAAAATCCCGGCTCTCCCTCCAGTCCCAGGAGGGATATTCGATTGACCGTGGCACTGCACATAACAAAAACAAACAATTCGTGTCAGAAGTTCTGAGAGCTCCGTGAGCAAACTGGGTGAAAACCTTCTGAAGGAAAAGACAAAAAGCGATCTGATAAAAGACTGAAATAAACACCCCAACTCCAATGCAAACCATCAACGATACAGCTTGTAGCACCATTTGCTCAACCGTGACTTTGTGATTCACAACAGGACGAAGCAAAATGGAGCACTGGCAGAAAACTCCGTTTTGCATCCACAGAGACAGAGCTGACTGGTCTGAGGCCAGGGGACAGTGCCCATCTGTCTCTTTGATTACCAAAACAAGGAGCAGGAACCGACCCACATAGTGTACCAACATCCTGCCAATGTCTCCTCACAGCACCCCTTAGCCTATAAATGGTGGTGGATTCATAGACTCTGGGATTTCTGCTCTTTTTACAAAGGCAAAGAGCAACAGTCTATTATATGAGAGGGCCTACTTGTTGTCTGTCCATATCTGACACCCTTATACTGAATTCAAATTGACATGAAATACAGAAAGATTACATGGCGAGCACGTACTGGTTGTCTGCAGGCCGCTGCTTACTGCCTGAACAGGCACTGAAAACTAAAAACAGCAAAAGGGACGTTAGAATAAGTGGACGCATGAGAAAATGAAACATATAATTGCTGAAGGGTGCAGGAAGTTAGTATCGCTCTTCTGTCGGCTCACACACACAAATTAGATGGAGAGTGAATGTTTGACAGCACCGCTGCGACAGCGGGCCTTCCTCTACCTTTATTTACCCTGACTAAGCTGCTTGGTGTTATAACAACCGTAAACACAGAGCAAATGCCGATGCCAAATAAAGACTGGGGGGAAAAAAAACTTTTTTCAATTAATTCTGGCAACGAAGGGCCATTCTGTGCTCCTCTTGCCTCAGAGCGTTGTATTGCATTAGATAAAGGCCATGCCATATCTTAACAGCTTAGTTTATAGAGGGTAAGAGTTAATTTCCCACCAGATTTGCAAGATAAAAGCATCTGTAGAGTAGATGTGAAGGTAAAGCTGACGAACCCTTTTCAAACTACAAGGACTTGTGCCCGCTCTGTGTCTCCTTGCTATGTCTGTGATAGTTGTTGGCCTTTCTCACTACACTGCACAATAATGATGAGAGGCACTTCTTTTCATTTCAAACTTTTATGAGCTCTGCAAGCCAGAACACCTATCTATGCAATTTTAATGCAATCTGTGTTTGGGTCAGGCTTTGAAGGCTCCTTACGCTCTGAGGGGACAACAAGAAGGCTGGTACTGTTCCCAAGTCAAGCACACCTCAATGTGTTGTATTTTCGCTGACTTCATGCTCCCATCCCCACACTAAGATTCTCTCTATTGTGTGCAATACTCCAACCACAGCCTAAAATAGACTTGATATGGCAGTGACAGAGCACAGTGGTAAATTATTGAAACACTCTGTGGCTCCACTTCCTCCTCATTTGACCCATCCCCACTGCCTCCAGCTTCATGCTTCATTCTAACATTACAGCTATGGTAATTTATCTCAAAACTGAACTAAAAGTTTTTAAATTTTTCCTTCTGTTCCGTACAAGACATTTGTGAATAATTCACTGGGTTGTCGAGAAAGTTTATGAAAAGTGGTGCTCTATAATGAACTAATCTGCAGGGTTATGGGCGGCTGGAAGGAGGATACCAGACTATACACTGTGACTAACTTTAATTAGATATAATTAGATCCAATTAAAAACTGAGATTAAAGTCAATGGAGCTTGTAATTGGGGAAACAAGTGGTACAACTGGTATCAAAACTGCACAGCTGCATGTTCCAGAGTGGACTGAGTGGCTTTTTTGAATAAAGAGAAATGTGAAACGGTCAGGAAGAAGGAAACTGATAAAAATGAACTCACAGGACTTGGATTCTGGAGAAGGTGGGGAGATACTTGAAACAGCCAGGTCACTCTTGGATTTCTTCGGTTTCTTTGGGTGAATCTGCCATGGCTTTTCAAAGTTGCTGTACTCCCTTCGAGTGTTTTTGTTTTCTGTCAGGAAAGATAGTCACAGTACATGTTCCGAACTCAAAGCAACACTGGAGTTTAATCTGAAAGCTTTGTTGTTTTTTTTATGCAGCTTAATGGCCTTCAGTCCAACATATCTGAGCTTATTTCAAAGAGGGTTGCGCTTTAAGGCAATTCTACTTCCATGAGCCCATACACAGGGTACATGGTGAGCTTTGACAATCTGTTTTCCATATTTTCAGGCTATGGTTTGTCTTATCTTAACGTTTCTTTTTTTTTTTTCTTGAGTGAATTTGCCTTTACATTAATACTATGATCCTCGCTCAGTGTGAATCTTTGTGAATCCCTCCTTCAGATGTTTCACAGATCCCCTTTAACAACATGGTGACACTCTTTTTAGGCCTCCCCGGAGATTAAATTCTGGGTTTAGGCCCAGACTAAAACTATCTTTTTCTAAAGCCACACATTATTTTCTTGAAGTGATGTTTTGTTGAACCTTTAGCTAACCCTAACCCAAATCACTCAACCATATACTTTGGATTTAAATCCATGGAAACATTCACTAAAGACAGATAGTGTGTGCAATTAAGAATTACCTCCACATTACCTTTATCTTTACCTCCCTCATGATCTGTTTATCTAACATGCTCCTTTCTGTACTCGATTCCTTCGTATACACAAGGTATTGACACTAAAATAATAACAAGCCGCATCTGCTATCCTAAATTAGCTTTTAAAGAGAAAATGTTTCCTTGGACTACTTTCTTTTCTCCTGCCTCTTGCACAGCATTGATAGATGCCCATCCTTGTGTGTTTACCAACCTGGCGAACTCTGTGCCCACAGAGCGGCTGAACCAGAGAGCGCTCTGTGCAGCTTGCCTGGGCTGTCTTGCTTGGTCTGCAGGTGATCAATGAGAAATGGGATTGGATGGTCTGGAGTCTCGGTTATCAGTTTGGTCATCAACTCCTAAAGGAGCAGAGTAAAGCAGAGAACAATTAGATGAAAGAGGCTCAGAACAAAATGAGAGTAGAACTCTCGTTTCCACCATGATAAACCGGAAACTTTGCAAACTTTGCAAGCATCACTGTATTCATTTTGCAGACGAAAAATTTCAACTTGGCAACACCAAGGGGCATAATCCCAGGTTCTTCTTCTCAGATTAATAATATTTCTTGGCTCAGTGTGAGCAAACAGGATAACAGTTTATCCCGATGGATGCCAGCATTTCCCTTCTGTGTCAATTAATAAGTCTGCAAGATTGTTCAAATTCAGATGTCAACACACACCGGAGAGCAATTCAATTCACCAACTGCAGCATCTGGTTAATCAGTGGTGCTCCGGAGCTTTGTCTGAAGCGAGCAGCATCCGATAAAGTGGGAGTGAACAGACAAATGTGGCACCTCAGGAGTCAGGGATCACCGCTTGTATCCACGACAAGAACCTCGGATTTGACCTGGGGGATCATTTCCATCTAATATTTCAAGCAGTTGGTGTGTTAACTGAAGGATTAACTGTCCAACAACTGCAGGAAAAAGAAAGGGCTTTGGAGGGCAGAAAGAAAGGAAAGCACACAGGGAGCCTCAGTGGCAGGTGCTGAGGGTAGAGGCCATCCCTCACTCCACATCCTAATACAAAATTCATGATAGGGATTATGCACCAAATGGGCAATCGTGTCATAACTAATCACATCCTAGCAAGATGCTGTACATACTCATTTACCCACACAAATCAACCTCAACGCAAGGTACAACGCATGGAAAGAACAATTTGAAAATAGTTTTTTATTCCCCTTTTAAGACCAAAAACAACAAAGCTGTTGTTTTGCGGGAGCTCTTTATGAATTATTTTCCTCACAGATGAAGGTAAATGAGTATATGCCAAGTGGGAGTAGCACTGGGACATGAGAATGAACTTTGTTTGACCAGCTGAAGTCATTCAGATCAGCTGAGGCTGGCTGCTGCAGTGAGGCAAAGAAGCCATTAGTGAGCTGCAGTGAATTGGCACTAATGTACGGCCACAGTGAGCATGTGTGTATCATAAGTACTTGCATCTGTGCGACAACAGCATACTGTAAAGTAGACAGAATTGTGTAGCCATATGCTCCGGTGGCTGGCACGCATTGGTCCTTGTGGCGATGGCTCTGCTCATGTGTGGGTCTAAGGGGATGGGCTGGGGAATCAATGAGAGGCTCTGAGAGTTTGTATTGTAGCTGGCTCGCCTTGGCTGGGCAACGTGTGCTCAGAAAGCTAATCGGGTAATTGTTCAGGGGGACATTCCTACTCAGCCCCTGCAGTTCTGGCAGCAAACAGCATGAGAATGGATAAACAGGGAGCATACCGATACGCTAGCCAAGAAAGAAGAAAACCCAACCCAGTGGTCTTCTACATGAATGGAGGAAGCACACAGCCCTGAGTCCACCAGAGGCATAACATACAAGCTCTTTACACAGAGGCTCTAATGTGCTTAGAAGTTGAGCGAAGAGCCTCTGCAGTGGATTTCTGTGGTCTGCATCTAAAGTTTCAATCCACTAATGATGCCACTTTGTAAAAGCCCTAATTATTGCTCACTAGTTTCAGTGGGTAATTTAGCGAACCAATCAACAGGAGGCCTATAAAGGAAGGTTGTAATTTGGTTGATTATACAGGCAGAAAAGCAGGAGAAGTCTGTTTAACACCACAGGGTTTCCAAATCAGGGCTTCATGTTTGTTTAAGGGGAATTTTGTGCACCTTTTTTTACACAGGAGTGCCACGTGGTGATTTTTGCCATTTGTAAGGAGGCTCAAAGGCGTCCAGGGCACTGCTGTAAACCGGCAGCACCAGTGGGTACATCAGCAGGCTGTAAAGCTCAGCATTTTTTTTAATGCTGTATCTTAAGAAGCCCGTGATAAAGGTTCCATCTTTAGCAACGTTATAAAAAAGCCATTTGCCATTTTGCGAGAAGCCCATCACAACAAATGTGTTTGCATTAAACTGCTCACGTATGCAGCACAGAGAGGTCACCCCATCTGGCACTTCCACTTCCTATGCTAATCAGGAGCTTTATGTAACACGACTCCTGTTTGATGCGTTCATGTTGTTACACCGGTGATAACACAAAGCCGTAGGCTTAACTTTGGGTCAACATATCAACATATAAGCAGATCAACAGAACAATATCCTTGTTGTGTAACCGCACAAACGGGGGGGGCAGTTTCTGCATCCACCAGCGGTCTATTAGCGGGCCAACAGGTGACATGAGCTACGGACGCATTTAGTCCGTATCTGTCCAGATGTGATGCTGGCGGAGATATCTGCTCGCCTCAGGCGGTTTACTTTGGTCACAGCAATTGACAAGCTGTCAGGCAGCCAAGAAACAAACTGCGTCCTTGGAAGCTAGCAAGGACTCCCTCCGGGAACAATGACAGCCATGATACCCTCAGTGACACCACCTCCTACCCTGCAACTTAAACAAACTCCCAAAATGGAAAGAGGAGATATGTGAAGGAGAAGGGAGCAAACAGTGGAAGCTTTGAAAGTCAAAACTGGGGGGGGGCAGACTCAAGAGCCATTTCAAAGGCCAAAAAAAAAGATGAAAGGTGTCATATTCAAATTAGAGATGGAAAAGAAAAACTCAAGTTTAGCTATGGTGTTGTTTGTTTATTTATTTAGTTTTTGTATCTGCTGGCTGAAGAGACCATGGACCCTTAACTTATGTGTGCTGATAACACAGACTGAGCCAGGTTCAAACTGAGAGCTGCAAGAGCCTACTTGCCTTCACCTGTCTTCGGCTTTTGGGAGACTTCTAATGGAATTATAATGGAGTTATAAATATTTGGATGTGAAGAGACATTCAAATTTCAGCACATATCTATCCACATCTAAAACATTTACCTACTAAGGCTTACGTATGCACACTATGTATGAGAAAGCGAAGAGAATGTCGAAGAATAACACCACACATTTCCACAGCAGCTTCATCTTGAAACTCACAGCATATTTCAGCACGTCTAAAGTCGATGCATTAATACAATCTTGCCCTTGACTAAAAACAAAAACAGACTAGATGAAGTATTAATGCATCATCAGATCATCCCAGGAGGGCTGTTTGTTGCCTGTATCTGATCCGACCAGCTCCATGCCAAATTACAAAGTCCTCCCCCAGTTAGGGTGACGTCTGCCTAGCTGTCCCGGTTGTCCCACACATAAAGCTATCATTACTGGGAAAATGATGCTGAAATGTGCCAACTAAGGTAAAGATGAGGAGGGAGAGACGGAGAGAGATGCCACTGGAAGGGATCCAGACCTTGAGTAAACAAGCAGACGAGAGCAGAGGAGCTCATGCGGAAGAGGAGAGCGTGGGAGCGGCAATGTCACCTGACCGCGCTGGCAGCGACTTCAGGTTCAGATGGTGAGCTTTTATCTGCTGACAGCCACCACTCACATGCTTTCTTCTGTTTTTTCCACTATTTCTTTATTTTGTTTAGTTTATTTTGCTTACAAATTTGCTCAATTTTAGATTTACCAGCAAAAAGCTGATGCTTGGATAAATATAAAAAGGCCAAGCCTTCACTTAGCCCCGCCCACGAGAAGGGCACATGGATATCTCGTGCTTTATTTACCAAAAAAATTAAACTCCTTTATCTTGAAATATATCTTCCGTGCCAGCATTTAGTGCTACCGTCTTTTCCCAGTAGTCTCCAACGAGGAAGCTGCTCATGTTGTGGCCTAGAAAGAAAGGCTTGCTTGTCCTCTGGAGTCACATCCATTACAAAATCACTGAATTTTTTAGGAAAGCGCTGGTGTCGCTACTTTTACAAGCACAACTTAGCAAAAAATTGTGAGTTGAAGCTGCTCTGGTGGTGACACAGACTGTCCTGGCAAAGCAGTAAAGCTCATGTGACAGCAAATCAGACAGACACAAACATTGTGTGTGTGCTAGTTTTTCATTTTTAGTTCTTCCATTTGTTTTTATGATGATGATGTGATGAAGCACCTTGCCGACATTTTTATGACAGGGGAAACCTTAATAATCAATGTTATCTAAGAATGCTTGTCTCAATCATTAAGTCATTAGGTCACGTTCTCTCTTGTTGTCATACTGGTTTATTCACATAATACTGAAAGGAAAATGTTTTTTTAACCACTTAGCGCTGACCTGTGCATCATTCAAGAGTGCTGAGTCTACAATCTCATTAACAAACTGTCTCTTTTGTTTACTATCAGATGTTTACTGCCAGATTCAGATCATTCCCTTGTTTTAATGCATCTATGAACTCTACCACAGATGAGGCATATTTACAGTATTTTTTACACCAACACATTGATTCCCATCGAGCTCTCTACCTTGTGTGGACTAGTGACCTTGAGCAGTAGATATAAAGTGACAGAGGACAAAAGAAGAAGTGTTGGGCCTAAATATCAACATACAGCAGATGAATAGTATCTGACAGTGATGTTCTCAAGAAACGGGGGTGGAGCAATTCAGCGAAGTCCTGACGCTACACCTGTTAAAATGGTGTATAACATGAGCAGATCTCCTAAGCCACCAGGACGGCCATCGATCACACACAGCAGGCAGTAATCAGGACTCCTCTGCCTGGAACTTCATTAGCATGCACTCCCTGCCTTTTCCTGCTCCCTACACCCTCACAAACACAAACACAGTCTCTGCTCCTCATCCCACAGCACGCGCCATTCTCCACATTTTCCACATGTTGGCCTTCACTCATCATCTGACTGCCTGATCTCACAGATATCCATCCCTCCTCGCCCCTTCCTGCCCTCCCTCAGGATCAACCCAGCGCTGGGGAGCGTGCACACCTTGTAGGAATTACTACGCATACTTTGCCTGAAGGTGGAGCTGCATTAACCCATACATGACCACACATCTGTCATGTCAAAAATTCAAAATTTGCAACAGAATGAAGACTAAATAAGATTCATAAACTGGTCTCATGATTAGGCCTGTTTTTTCTTCTTCC